AGGGTCACTAATGGGCGGGGCTTTTCCCCTTATGATGGCATGTACATAAGTGCAATGTTAATCTATGTGTTTCTGCAGGTTGTTTTATGTAGTTTAATTATTAAAGAGATTTAATTAATTGATTTTTATCATTGGAAGCTGGTTATATATACTGTGTTTAAACCCATTAAAGTGATTTTTGCATAATAGCTCCCTATTTAGTTAGGCTAAGTGTATGTTTTGTGTATAATTAGTTGTTTTAAAAGTCTCTGCAACACATATTTAAATTGCACATTATAATAAACTGTGTAACCCATGATAATTAGAGTCAATATTTAGAAATGTAAGACTTCCGTCTTTTAACATGATTATAACCTTGTCCTGACTTGCAGATTAATGTCAGACACAGCCTTTGGCATATAATAGCAACAAGGCAAACATCTTTTGCTCACCTTACTGGTGATGTCATTCACTGCAACATGAACAAAGATAGAAGCTTCCTCCATGCCTTCCAAATACACATGGCGGTAACCTGACAATGAGACACAAGCAGATATTCAGGAACTGAGCAGTACTATACAGTACCGTACTAAAACACTTAAAAATGGGTCCCACTTTCTATTAGGTGGCCTTAACTACCATGTACTTGCATTACAAAACGAAATACAATGTACCTTAAGTTTTGATAATGTATTGCAGAACAATTCTGATGCTCTTAAGGTGGGATATGGGTCGGTTTGGGGCAGATTTGGGGGTGTGTGTAGGTTTAATGGTTGGTTAAGGTGTTTGGGATGGTCAACAGTGATGGTCAACAGAAATTAATAACAGATATAGTTACATGAAGGAATTTAATAATTCGTAATTCAGTGTGAGTGCATACAGTGCATCCGAAAAGTGTTCATAGTGCTTTATGTTACAGCCTTATTCCGAAATAGATTAAAAAAAATATTTTCTCAAAATTCTACACACAGAATCCCATAATACTGACAATGTGAAAAAAGACTTTTTGAAATTGTTGCAAATTTCTTACAAATAAAAAAGCTGAAAAATCACATGTACAGAAGTATTCACAGCCTTTGACGTGAAGCTCTAAATTAGGCTTAAGTACATTCTATTTCTACTGATCGTTCTTGAAATGTTTCAGCAGCTTAATTGGAGTTCACCTGTGATAAATTCAGTTGATTGGACATGATTTGAAAAGGCATACACCTGTTTATATAAGGTCCCAGGGTTGACAGTGCATGTCAAAGCACAAACCAAGCATGAAGACAAAGGAATTGTCTGCAGACCTCCTAGAAAGGATTGTCTCGAGGCACAAGGCTGGGGAAGGTTACAGAAACATTTCTGCTGCTCTGAAAGTTCCAATGAGCACAGTGGCCTCTATTATATGTACGTGGAAGATGTTTGGAACCACCAGGACTCTTCCTAGAGCTGGCCGGCCATCTAAGCTGATCGGGGGAGAAGGGCTTTAGTCAGGGATCAATAACCCAATGATCACTCTGTCTGAGCTCAAGCGTTCCTCTGTGGAGAGAGGAGAACCTTACAGAAGAACAACCATCTGTGCAGCAATCCACCAATCAGACCTGTATGATAGTCTGGCCAGACGGAAGCCACTCCCCGCCTGGATTTTGCCAAAAGGCATCTGAACGACCATAAGAAACTCTGATTCGGATCTCTGATTCGGATGGGACTAAAATTAAAACCCTTTGGAGTGAATGCCAGGCGTTACGTTTGGAGAAAACCAGGCACCGCTCATCACCAATACCATCCCTACAGTGAAACATGGTGGTGGCAGCATTATGCTGTGGGGATGGGAACTGGTAGGCTGGTCATGATAGAGGGAAAGATGAATGCAGCAATGCACAGTGACACCCTGAATGAAAACCTGCTTCAGAGTGCCCTTGACCTCAGACTGGTGCGACAATTCATTTTCCGGCAAGACAATGACCCAAAGCACTCCGCCAAAACATCAATTGAGTAGCTTCACAACAACTCGGTAAATGACCTTGAGTGGCCCAGCCAGAGCAGAACTAAATCCTATTGAACATCTCTGGAGAGATCTGAGAATGGCTGTACACCGTCGCTTCCCATCCAACCTGATAGGCAAGGCAAGGCAAGGCAGGTTTATTTATATAGCACATTTTATACACAGTGGCAATTCAAAGTGCTTTACATAAACAAGAATAAAAAAAACATGTAAAATAAAAATAAAAACAAATAATAAAAATGCGTAAAAAAACATAAAAACAGGTAAAATGTGATTTAAAAGAATGAAGAAGAAGAGAAAAACATGATAGTGCAATCTGTCGGACGCAGCACATTGCTCATTCAGTAAAGGCACAGCTAAACAGATGTGTTTTCAGTCTTGATTTGAATGTGCCTAATGTTGGAGCACATCTGATCATTTCCGGAAGCTGATTCCAGCAGCGAGGGGCGTAGTGGCTGAAAGCTGATTCACCCTGCTTTGACTGAACTCTTGGAACTTCTAGTTTATATGATCCAAAAGATCTGAGTGATCTGTTGGGTTTGTATTCAGTGCGCATATCTGTAATGTATTGAGGTCCTAGGCCATTTAGTGATTTATAGACCAGTAATAATACTGTAAAATCTATTCTGAATGTAACTGGCAGCCAGTGTAAAGACTTGAGGACAGGTGTGACGTGCTCTGATTTCCTGGTTCAGGTCAGAATTTTGGCTGCAGCGTTCTGGATGAGCTGTAACTGTCTGATTGTCTTTTTAGGAAGACCAGTGAGGAGTCCATTACAGTAATCCACCCTGCTGCTGATAAAAGCATGAACAAGTTTTTCTAAATCTTCACTAGAAACAAAGCATCTGATAGAGCATGAGGGGTACTGCAAAGAGGAATTGCCCAAAAATTCCCAAAGACAGGTGTGCCAAGCTTGTGGCTTCATATTCAAAAAGACTTGAGGCTGTAATTGCTGCCAAAGGTGCATCAACAAAGAAATGAGCAAAGGCTGTGGATGCTGATGTACATGTTAATTTTCAGTTTTTTTATTTTTAATAAATTTGCAACAATTTCAAAAACAGTTTTTTCACAGTGTCATTATGGGGTGTTGTGTGTAGAATTTTGAGGAAATAAATGGATTTAATACATTTTGGAAAAAGGCTGTGACATAAAAAATGTGGAAAAAGTGAAGCGCTATGAATACTTTCCCGATGCACTGTATTAGTATATAAATATAAGGTCACCTAATATGAATTGGGACCAAGAAATGCAAAAGGCCTGAGGGATCAGTTATTTTCTCTTATATTTTGGAAATTTGATACCGGGAATCATGCTGTTAAAGGCGATGGTCCTCTGACCAATGAAATCTTGGCCTATCGGATCATGATCCCACACCAGGAAGCGTATAAGAGCGTTCTCTGGCATGTGCAGAGTGAAGACGAGAGTTTCTTCCCACATAGGATTGAATCCTGAAAAAGAAAGAGAGAAGAGGAGGTGTGAGGAGGCCTAATTCATGGAGAAATTATATAATGCATGAGACTATTGGAGGTGTCAGAATGTTCATATTCACCTGCCAGTTACACTCAAACAAAATTACCTGCCCGACCTTCACAAAATAAGCCACTTACTGAAATTGCTCACTATAGAGGGGCTGAATAAATTAATCGAGTGTTATTCTTCTAAAATTGTTCATTGTATTTAACACATTTAACCAGCAGATACAGAGTACATCCAGAATAAAAAGTCTTTTAAAACAATCTGCACTGCATAACCTCTGGAGTCCCTCATGGCTCTATTCTTGGATCACTGTAGTTCTTGTTTTACATGCTGTTTTTAAGTGGCTACTATAAACAAATCCCATCTAAAATCATGCCAAATTCTGCCACTTCATGTTTCACAGAACACACAAATAAACAAATAAATAAATAGAGCCCATTACTAAGCCTGTACTGCACACCATCTCAAAGTTATTACACCTACGCATTCCTTAATATAGTCTGCATTTGACAGCATCCAAAATTGTCAACTTCCAAATTACAGTAGCACCACAATAAATAAAAATAATAATAAAGGGCGACACGGTGGCTCAGTGCTTAGCACTGTCGCCTCACAGCAAGAAGGTTGCTGGATCGAGTCCCAGAGGGGTCAGTTGGCATTTCTGTGTGGAGTTTGCATGTTCTCCCAGTGTCGGCGTGGGTTTCCTGCGCTATAGGTGAATTGGATAAACTAAATTGGTCGTAGTGTATGTGTGTGTAGCTGGAAAAACATATGCTGGATAAGTTGGTGGTTCATTCTGGTGTGGTGACCTCTTATGAATAAAAGGACTAAGCTGAAGGAAAATGGATAATTGAATGAATAAATAAATTTGGAGGAGGAAACCTGCAAAAACAACAAATAAACACAAAAAACAATATATAATAAATAAATACACAGATAAATAAATATATATTAAATACTAAAGTGAATGTTGTCAATGTTTATCAAGGGAGGACAAAAAACTACTTTCATTTCAGCATTTATTTATTTTTATGCAGGATTTCTATGTATATTTATTTACTTATTTACATATTTATTTGTTTTATTTATGTAAAAGTTTGTGGATATATATACATATTTATTTATTTATTTGCATATTTATTTATTGTTTTATTTATGCAAAATGTTTTGGATTTGAATATACTTTTCTTGTTTGAATTCCGTATTTATTTATTATTTTTATTTATGCAGGAATTTGTGGATTTTAATATATAAATTTACTTATTTATCTGTGCATTTATTTATTTATTTATTTTTACACTGGAATTAGTGTACATACATATGTGTGTGTGTGTGTGTGTGTGTGTGTGTGTGTGTGTGTGTGCATTTGCATATTTATTTATTTCTTGTTTTTTTATGCAGGAATTTGTGGAATTTTATATTTATTTATTTATTTATGTGCATAATTATTTATGTTTTGTTTTATTTATGCAGACATTTGTGTGTGTATATATACACACACACACACACACACATATATATATATATATATATGTGTGTGTGTGTGTGTATTTGCATATTTTTTTTATTTATTGTTTTTTTATGCAGGAATTTGTGAATAGTTTTTATTTATTTATTTTTTATTTGTGTATTTATTTATTTATTGTTTTCTTTATACATAAACTTGTGGATTATATAAATATTTGTGTATTTATTTACTTATTGTTTTATTTATGCAGAATTTGTAGATTTGTAGATTTATATATTTTCATTGTTTTATTTACATATGTATTTATTTATTGTTTTTTTATGCAGTGGATTAATTAGATTAATGTATTAATTTGTGGATTTATTACTTAATTTATTTATTAATTTGCATGTCTATTTATTACATTTCTTGCAGGATTTATCCTACATCGATCAATCAATCAATCAATCAATCAATCAATCAATCAATCAATCAATCAATCAATCAATCAAATCAATCCTGATCTGCCCTACAAAAACACACAACTTCCAATTGTTTCAAACTTCCAACCACAATGTGGCATTCTGCACTTATCACCTGTGAGTCATCACAAAAAGGTGTCGATTAACATGTAAATTGAGTTCATGAATTATTGAAATGTTTACAGTCAGAAAGATTGGCTTTCGAGGTTAGATCTTAGGCTTCCAAACAAATGAACACTCAAGGAAATGGCTTCACAGTTTAATGACACTTTAATGACCAATCCCCAGACAATTACAGGTTCAATTTCAAGATGTGCTGTTGATGTGGTTTGTGTGTGTAGTATAAAATCTGTCATGATATTACTCTCTCACCATTGTCGTCAACCACTCTGGTTTGCTCTTTGCAGCAATCCACCGGTAGCCCAATAATCTCCACTTCCACAAACGGATCGATTATCTACACAAGAAATATTAAATAAGAATATTTAAAAGAGCTTTAAAACAATACAAAAGCATGTGTTAAGGTAAACATTTATATATAGAAGCAAATGAATCAAGGGCACATTTCATTTAAAGAAAAATCAAGAGCTAAAACTAAACAATTCTTGATTTTTTTTTCTAGGACAATTTATTACTTTTATATTCAATCCACTTAAATTGGTAAAAACTAGTTAATTCCTTCATGTTGACCCAATACAAATCAATTGTGCTTACTTTTTGCAGCTGGAAGAGCATCCGCTGCATAAAACATTTGCTGGATATTATGCCGGTTCATTCTGCTGTGGCAACCCCAATTAATAGAAGACTAAGAGAAGGGACTAATATTCAAGTCTAAGAGAAGCACAAATGCACCATCAGAGCCCATGAAATATCTCCTGTATCACTTATCATGTATGAAATTATGATTTTTTATTGAAATGTTACCTAATGTGTGACCCCCCCACCCCCCTCCTGTCCAATCTGTCTTGTATTATTCACACAATGACAGCTAATATGTATTGTGAGAAGACCAGCGATTGAAAGACTTGTTCAGTGAAATTCATATACATACTTTTCGCAATTCATTCAAATCCTGTTGAATCCTGATCATCATTCCTTTCAAAAAATTTATGTACATTATGCAGAGTACATTATGTATGCTTAATGGATTGTAAATAAATCACAAATACTTTAAATCATAAGCAAATAGTGAAAAAACTTTGATCAGTATAATAAATGTTTTCATTTGGCTTCTTTTTGTTGTGAAACTAAAAGTGTGTGCTAAAGAAACCCAATGCTTTAAATAATAATAATAATAATAATAATAATAATAATAATAATAATAATAATAATAATAATAAATAATAATAAACAATAACAACAAATTATTTAGAAAAACAAAAATAAATAAATGTAAATATAAATAAAAAAATATAAATAAAGATTAAATAAAATTATAAAAAATAAGATTATATATAAATAAGATTAAAAATAAATAAGTTATAAATAAATAAGATTAAAAATAAATAAGATCATAAATAAATAAGATCATAAATAAGATTATAAATAAATAATATTAAAAATAAATAACATAAATAAATTAGATTATAAATAAATAAGATTAAAAATAAATAAGATTAAAATAATAAGATAAATAAATAAAGTTTTAGAAACAAAGTGTAGAGATAAAATTTTTTTTAAGTTATTCTGGATTTGCTGAAAAATGCACAATTATCCTGGATTTTTTTGTATGTGTTAAATAAATGAATAACAAACAAACAAACAAACAAACAAACAAACAAACAAACAAACTAACTAACTAACTAACTAACTATTTTAGAGCTAAAGATTATAGGCAAATGATTCTGGATTTTCTGAAAAATGCAGAATTATTTTGGATTTTTGTCAATGTATTACATATAAAGGTAAATATAAATATAAAGTTTTAGAGTTAAAGTTTATAAGCAAAATAAGTTAAAATTATTATGGATTTGCTTAAAAATCCAGAATTATTCTGGATGCATTGCTTGATAGCATTCATTGGATTGAAAGCATTCTATTTTTTTGTCATTATGTTTGTTTTCATACAGTTTGGATACAAGTTTAGTTTTTTTATTGCTGAGACAACAATTAATAGTTGACCATTTAAGGTTAGTTTAATTTGAAGTGGACTGCTGAAGGTTTGCTTTACCTCTCCTCTGTCCCCCAGCATGGAGTCTTTTGGTTTGGGCAATTGCTGACCACTGATGACCTTAAGAATCAGTTGCTTTTTCAATCGACCTGGCAAAGGATCCTCAGCTACTGGATTAAAGGAACCTGCAAGAACAAAGAGGACAGATTATTTAAAAATGTCATACTCAAAGCTCATTTTAATATTTCATGACATAATTTCCAATTTGGCTTGCTTGGGTTAGGATGTCTAACTTTGACTTGATTTATTGATGTTCTTTTGCACTAAAAAGTCTTGCAAAGTAATGCAAATATTGTATTTATCCACTTGATTTGCCCAATTTATTAAAGGGAAATGCTAAACTTCAGCTAAATTATTATTATTACACAGCTCTCACAAATGCTTGATTTGAATTGATCAATCACAACTCATAAAGTGGACCTATTATGGAAAAATCACTGTTATAACGGGTTTAAACACAGTTATGTGACAACAGTCTGTGAATATAGCCAGCTTTTAATGGTCTTTTTATAATCCCACTTGATAAAAACACTTTGATTAACATTCTCCCAAAATAAGATAAAATAAAATAAAAAAGTCAAATAAAATAAAAAACTAAATAAAATTGAATCATGCAGAATATGTACTTTATAAATAACAAATAAACATGTTTAATAATAGGCAAGTAATAACTATTAAACAATGAGAATTGGTACTTAAACTAAAATGTAATTAAATTAAATTAAATTAAATTGTAGTTAAAATAAAATAAAATAAAAGATCATGCAAAATGTATACTTAAGTAAACTATAATAAAATGAATGCAAAAAAGAATGAAAAAGATGTGTCAATAAACTCCTAATTTGCCACTCATTATTAGCTATTAAGATATAAGTTTCGTTATTGGTGTAGGATTAGGGATTTACAATAAGATCATGCACAATATGTACTTCATAAATTGCATTTAACAGCAAATATCCTAATAATGCCCAGCAGGCACAATACATTGTTATTAGGTCAGATTTAGGTTGTGATGTCAGGTGACCAAAATTCAATGTCTAGCAAGTGTCTAAGGAGAATGTTTTTTTGATGTCCAATAATAGCCCCTTTCACACATACAGACCTTTCCGGAAAATTACCGGCAATTTTCCGGAAAGGTTGTATGTGTGAACAGGTCCTTTTTGAAAATACCGGTAAATTCGTTCTGGCTATTTTCCGGAAAGAGAAGTTGTAACATTACCGGCAATTTGCCGGAATGCTGCGCTGTGTGAACGCAGAAGGAATATTTCCGGAATAAGCGCGTGCACGTCTAGAACGTGCTGACCTAAGACTTCTGCTTTAGCCAATCACAACAGTCAGACGCATTTACGTCCGCGCGGTTTATGAGAATTAAAGCCTTTGAATATTTTCCCAGACACATTTAGCTGCTAGAAGTTAGTCAAATCACGTTTATATGTTCTTCTTAATGCCAACTGTGTAAATGATCATCGATGAGATGCTAATGATAAGCCGTTGTTTGTTTACCTTCAAGCTTTGCGTGTGCCCATGAAACAGCCTGTGAGCGCCTGCACACGCACATATTATGAACATCTCGAAATGCGAAAGTGATCCTGCGAAAGTTGTTTACAATATTGATCATCCACAGAGTTTGTAATTTAGTCAAATGTTTACAAATACAAGCGCAGCCGTTTAAAGCTCATTTGTGGTGAATGATGTCAGAATTTACCGGTATTTTGGAATGGATGTGTGAATGCTCTTTTCCGGAAAAATTCCGTAACGTCCTCGCCTGTGTGAACAGCGCTTTTTTCAATATACCGGTAAAGTCGTTCCGTAAATTTTCCGGATATTTACCGGTATCACTGTGTGAAAGGGGCTAATGACGTCAAATGAAGTTGATATTCGGTTGATTTTAGGTTGTGTTGAAAAGTGACCAAAACCTAGCATTGAGACAACATCTTAAACCAGCGTCATATTGACGTCAAATACTGACATTTATTCATCAGGTATGGCCACCAAAATTCAGCGTCTGATAGACGTCATAGTGGTAACATCCACACAACCTCAAGCTGTAACATCATTAGACGTTGATATTTGGTTGATTTTAGGTTTGATGTTGGACAGTAACGTTGGTCTGACGTCAACCTGATTTTCATTTCCAAGCAAAATGCAATGTTCCCATGACAGGTACACGTCAAACTGACGTAATGCTGACGTCCTGTGCCTGTTGAGTAGGCAGCTATTAAGCTTAAAATAAAATAAAATAAAATAAAATAAAATAAAATAAAATAAAGATTGATTATGCTGCTGTCCTATGCATGCTGGCTAGGCAGCTAATAAGCTTAAAATAAAATAAAACAAAATAAAATAAAATAAAAAATAAAATAAAATAAAATAAAATAAAATAAAATAAAATAAAATAAAATAAAATAAAATAAAATAAAATAAAAATAAAAACTAAATAAGGATTGATTATGCTGTTGTCCTATGCATGCTAGGTAGGCAGCTAATAAGCTTAAAAAAATAAAATAAAATAAAATAAAATAAAATAAAATAAAATAAAATAAAAATAAAACTAAATAAGGATTGATTATGCTGCTGTCCTATGCATGCTGGCTAGACAGCTAATGAGCTTAAAATAAAATAAAATAAAATAAAATAAAATAAAATAAAATAAAATTAAATTAAAAACTAAATAAGGATTGATTATGCTGCTGTCCTATGCATGCTGGGTAGGCAGCTAATAAGCTTAAAATAATAAAATAAAATAAAATAAAATAAAATAAAATAAAATAAAATAAAATAAAATAAAATAATATTGATTATGAATAATCGTATGCACCAACGCTCTAATAAAATAGAACAAAATAAAAAGCAAGAAGATGTATTATACAAAACACAGACATACAATACCTATAAAATATGTAGATTGGAGGAAGCACACTAATGGGTATACTGACCTTCACACAAGCAGCCAGGCTTCTGAATGTAACCACAGTTGCCATTGCAATAGAACTTAGCTCTGTTGAGCTGCAGCACTCTTCCCTCTGACTGGTAATTCAGCGCAACTGCACAAAATAAATCGATCAAAACTCAACAACAATCATAATAACAAGAATATCAATATTATCAGTGATCATTCCAGCAACTGAAATCACACAGGTGAAGTCAAAATTATTACAAATATTTTTTCGTTTTGAAATATTTCCCAAATGATGCTTAACAGAGCAAGGAAATGTGTCACAGTATGTCTGATAATATTTTTTCTTCTGAAGAAAGTCTTTTTTGGTTTATTTTGGCTAAAATAAAAGCAGATTTGAATTTTTTACACAATGATTGCCTAATTACCTTAACTTAAGCCTTTAATATCACTTTAAGCTGAATTCTAGCATCTTGAAAAATATCTAGTCAAATATTATTCACTGTCATCATGGCAAAGATAAAATAAATTAGTTATTAGAAATGTGTTATTAAAACTATTATGTTTAGACGTGTTGAAAAAATTCCTTCTGTTAAACAGAAATATACAGGAGGGTATAATTCTGGAGGGTTAATAATTCTGACTTCAACTCTATATCATCAAGGACCATTCCAGCAACTGAAATCATATGTTTTATAATAAGTCATTAGCAAATCTAGTTGTGTCTTCAATATTAATGAGCAGCAGGTTGCCAGTATGCTTTAGACATGCTGTTTATTCGCAGTCTCCCGGATAAACATAAACATTTGTCAGTGGGTGGACTGGCGTACCCAGATGGCAGCCAGCGTTCCAGAAGGGCTGTGGGTTGAAGTTGCTGGAGTCCACGCGGTAAGGAGATGGGTAGACGCGAGAGAGCTGCCGCTGGTTGAACCGCATGAACGGCACCGGCTTCTGCTGGATTAACTGATGAGCTTTGGTCTCGCTCATCGACGACACCTGCCAAGTGACACCTGCCAACAAACACACATAAAGTCAGAATTATTAGCCCCCCTTTCATTTTTTTTTTTATACATATTTCCCAGATGATGTTAAACATGATCAAGGAAATTTTTCACAGTATGTCTGATAATATTTTTTCTTCTAGAGAAAGTCTTTTGTTTTATTTCGGCTAGAGTAAAAGCAGTTTTTATTTTTTTAAACACCATTTTGAGGACAAAATTATTAGCCTCTTTAGGCTAATTTTTTTCTCGATAGTCTACAGAACAAACCATCGTTATACAATACCCTAACCTGCCTAGTTAAACTAATTAACCTAGTTAAGCCTTTAAATGTCACTTTAAGCTGTATAGAAATGTCTTGAAAAATATCTAGTCAAATATTATTTACTGTCATCACGGCAAAGATAAAATAAATCAGTTTTTAGAGATGAGTTATTAAAACTATTATGTTTAGAAATGTGTTGAAAAAAAAATCTGCTCTCCGTTAAACAAAAAATAAACAGGGGGGATAATAATAATTCTGATATAAACTGTGTACACTTTTTAAAATTAATTAAATATAATTTGGGGCACAAGTTAACGCTGCAGCATTTTTAAGCAACACAAACGACTAATAATAGTTATAATAAAGATTTCTAATAAATATCTTGATTGTTGAAAATGCCCTGGAGCCTTTTAAAGATATTGATTTTAAAATAATTTAAAAATAATATTGTTGGAGTCTATCAATAATAATAATAATAATAGTAATAATAATAATAATAATAATAGTAATAATAATAATAATAATAATCATAAAAAATAATAATAGTAATCATAATAATAATAATAATAATAATAATAATAATAATAATAATAATAAATAATAATAGTAAAAATAATAATAATAATAATAATAATAGTAATAATAATAATAATCATAAAAAATAATAATAATAGTAATAATAATAATAATAATAATAATAATAATAATAATAATAATAATAATAATAATAATAAATAATAATAATAGTAATAATCATAATAATAATAATAATAATAATAGTAATAATAATCATAAAAAAATAATAATAATAACAATAATAATAATAATAATAATAATAATACATTTTATTTGTAATGCACTTTTCCTATACTCAAAGCGCTACAGGCGAAACACTAAAACACAAGGCAAGCAAAACAGCACCACAATAAAAGATGGAATAAAACAATAAAAATATGAACCATAAGATAGTAATAAAAAGTTATACAAAATAATCATCCTAAATTAAAAGCAATGCTAAAAAGGTGAGTCTTAAAAAGTTTCGTAAAACAGTCCAGAGAGGCGGCATTCCTAATGCTGATGGGGAGTTCATTCCAAAGCTTAGGCGCACTGTGTGAAAAAGCCCTCCCACCCATGGTCTTGAGTTTACACCATGGCTGATGCAATGTAAGTCTCGATTCAGAATGAAGACTGCGGGCTGGGGTGGCGAGGGTCACCAGGTCGCAGATGTAACTGGGTGCTAACCCATGCACTGCTTTGAAAGTTAAAATCAAGGTCTTAAAATATCAACTATATTTTAGCTTTAAATAGACTCAGGATTTAAAGGAGAAGACAACAACACTTTTGAAGACTCATGCACTTAAAATAGACACCAATATAGTTGTTTTTCATATTTTTTTCTTATTATTATGTATGGTGCGTAAATAAATATGGCCATTTGGAGACATTTTAAGTCCTTTTCACCTTGAGACTCAAAGTCTGGCATTCCCACAGATTTCATGTATACCAGGTCAGAAAGGGCTCTTGACAGCTTCATGGTTTTTTTCTTCCTGTTAAAACACATTAGATACTGTAGATTAGAAAAAGATAGTCGCAAAGAATAACTAACTCAATGTATGACTAAACATTTCCCAGTGATGGGTTCCAGCTGGAAGGGCATCCGCTGCGTAAAAACACGCTGGATAAGTTGGCGGTTTGTTCCGCTGTGGCGACCCTGAATTAAAAAAGGGACTAAGCCGAAAAGAAAATGTATGACTAAACATACACTGGCCACTTTATTAGGTACAGCTTTCCAATGACAGGAATGCAAATACTATCTAATAATCAATCATGTGAAGCCAATGAAGCTTGTAGACATGGTCAAGATGATCTGCTGAACTTAGAAATGGGATTTAAATGGACAAATCTGTTGATCTACAGGCATATAACTATCTCCAGGATTTAGAGAGAATTGTCAATTATACAGAAGTTATACATTCAGAAAAGTTAAGTGGATAAAAGTGTCTTGATGATGCCAGAGGTCAGAGAGGAACGGTCAGAATGATTCAAACACATGGGTATTCTGCAAACCAAGGTCTGCAGAGGCGAGTTTCTGAATGCACAATGCGTCCAACCTTGAAGCAGATGTTATGTGTTATTGAATAAGTAACACTGAGGCTAACATTCAAACAGGCTCATCAAAATTGTACAACATTGTACAACACTCCACTCCACTCCAAGTCATCAAGAGTTAAACAGTTGAGTTTGACCATTTTCGAATCCTTTTTTCATTTTCGAGCACCTAGCTTAGCTTAGCATAGATTATTGAATCGGATTAGACCATTAGCATCTCGCTCAAAAAAATTTTTAACCAACGAAAATTGAAAAGCTGCTATTTTCTAGGTAAATACGGCTAGGAACTATAGTCTAACTCTGGAATAATAAACAAGAAAATTTGCTGCTTAATGGTTGGAGTAAGCACAATGATATTATGCAGCTACTGCAGATAGTTTGCAGGTAGGTAACTAGGCAACAGTGCTGCATCATATCATCACATCTTAGCAAACAATAAAAGAGTCAAGCTTTAAATCGGGAAGTTATCTAAATGTTTTTTTTTTTTTTTCTTGAGTGGAATGCTAATGGTCTAATCCAATTCAATGATTAATGCTAAGCTAAGCTAAAAGTGCTGTGGCCAGACCTGAAAATTGACTGAGTGGATTCAAAAATAGTAAAACTCAACCGTTTACCTCTGGTTGTAATATGAGCCCTTCTTATATTATAAGATTCATTCATTCATTCATTCTATTTCTTTTTGGATTAGTACCTTTATTAATCTGGGGTCACCACAGCGGAATGAACCGCCAACTTATCCAGCATATGTTTTACACAGCGGATGCAACCCATCTCTGGAAAACACCCATACACTCATACACTATGGACAACTTAGCCTATCCAATTCACCTGTACTGCATGTCTTTGGACTGTGGGGGAAACCGGAGCACATGGAGGAAACCCACGCGAACGCAGGGAGAACATGCAAACTCCTCAGAGAAACGCCAACTGGCCCCGCCGAGGCTCGAACCAGCGACCTTCTTGCTGATATTATAAGATATTATATTATATTTTAAGATATGAGTGTTCCTTACAGAAAATTTCTGATGAGTCTTGATTATAACCGTTGATTTTGGCACAGTGTCAGGATTTGGCATAAACTACCTGAAAGCATGACTCCATCTTGTCTTTTATCAACAGTTCAAGCTGTTGATGGTGGGATGTGGGGGTTGACAGTATTTTCTCAGCACCCTCTTGGTTCATTAGTACCAGAAGATCATTGTTTATATGAAAAAGCCCACCCATTTATTACCATGAGGTGAAGGCAGGGTGACTTCCAGCAAGCGTGTTAAACACTCAAATAATCTCAGAATTGAAAGCTTTAGCTATAGTTCTACCAGGAAGACTGAGACGTAACGTCACTCATAATAATTATCTCGTCAGCCTATAACAACCAAGCAAGCCATGTATATAAGCCCATCTAAACAATCTGTTTTGCTCTACTCATGTGACGTTGCGGAAGTTTCCCTCCATCCTCCCTATCACCACCACCACCAGGCCGGCCTCGTCTCCCCTCAGAGGGTTGGCTTCGCCCTGCCTTCATCTTCAGGCAGGATCTGCCAGCTCATCCAGAGTTCTGCACTCTAGACGGGGCTTACGTCAAAGAACTTTATAAAAGGACCGTAACAAATTTGCATTCATGCAAACAATTCACAATAAATGTTCAAACGTTTATCTTCCTCCTATAGTCTTTCTGGTAGAACTAGTTTTTGGACAATTTCTTTGTGGATTTGGGGGAATTCACAAGTCTTGAGCAACTCTATGTCGATAGCATTTTGTTTACAATGCAGAGCGACATGGTGGCTCAGTAGTTAGCACTGTCACCTCACAACAAGAAGGTCGCTGGTTTGAGTCTGGGTCAGCTGGCATTTTTGTGCGGAGTTTGCATGTTCCCATGTTGGCATAGGTTTCCCCCGCGTGCTCAGGTTTCCCGCACAGTCCAAAGATATCAGCTATAGGTGAATTGAATAAACTAAATTGTTTATAGCAGGGGTCTCAAACTCGCGGCCCGCGGGCCATTTGCGGCCCTCAGTGCAATATTTTGTGGCCCGCGCCGACCGCTGTACTCTGACAGAATCAGCGGAGCGGGGAGAGAGAGCGTTCCCCGCTTCGCTGATTCTATCCGTACACAGCGCGCTTGTCACTCAATGCGCGTTGTCGCGCGCGTTCTGGTCAGCTGTGTTGTCGCGCGCGTACTCAAGAGCGGTGTTGTCGCGCGCCTACTGAAGGGTGGGACCGAGGGTGTGTCGCGTCGCGGGGGCACTTTTGATCATTTTGGAAGGGCACTTTCTATGCAAGACTAAAAAGGGCATGTGCACTGCACAGGTTGAGCCCTATGTGTGCACGTGCCTGCCCTGCATCTTATATATATTGATATTATAGGTAGATACAGACTGGTACAGACTGATGTGACTGGAGTGGGGTGGAGGTGTTTTATTTATACATATATACGCCTTTTTTAGGTGAGGGAATGGAAGTTTTGAGTGAGTTCCCCCACTTTTTTCCCTAGGACTTCAATAAGTCAAAGTACAGGTCTAGACTTAATGATGATCATCTTCAAGCCATACTGAGGGTCTCAACTGCTTCCGCTCTAAAGCCAAATGTGGTTCAGATTTGTGAGAAGAAGCGCTGTCAAGTCTCTGGCAGCAAGGAGTAGGCAAAAGATGCCATGTTCAGATGAACTGTTCATAATCTTCACTCAATTTTCTATTTATTGTTCAGGACACTTCATGTTCAGAAGAAATAATTAAAACTGTTAATAATGACATTTGAGGACTTTTTTTTGTGAAATCCCTTATGCGGCCCAGCCTCACCCAGACTTTGCCTCCTGTGGCCCCCAGGTAAATTGAGTTTGAGACCCCTGGTTTATAGTGTATGAGTGTGTATGGATGTTTCCCAGTACTGGGTTGCAGCTGGTAGGCCACCCAATGTGTTTTAGTTCATTCCGCTGTGGCGACCCCTGGTGAATAAAGGAACAAAGCTGAAGAAGAATGAATAAATGGAAGTCAATGTGCGCCAGGAATTAGCATTCTTCAAAGTATCTTCTTTAGTTTTCAACAGAAGAAAGAAAGTTATAATGGTATAAAGCCATGTGAGAGAAAGTAAATGATGAAGTAACTTGAATTTTTCAGGTCAGCTGTTCATTTAAGGCAGATTTGAAGATAAGATAGATTGGTGAACTATGCCTAATGAAAAATAAATCATGTATTTAAAATAAATCTAATCATCAAGAGTAATTCTAAATGGTACCTGCTGTGATGTGCTTGTGCTTTAGATGCCCCGCTTGAGCTCTCCTGATCGGTGTCGGTGTCCTCAAAACTAGAGGATTTCTTCACTTTGCTAGTCTTTTTCTACAGTAAACAGATGGAGTAGAGGTTAATGTCAAGTACTCCAGAGAGTCATGTACAGTGGGGGAAGAAGTACTGAACACATCACGGGTTTTCCTGGGAAAAATATTTCTAAAAGAAGCTGTTGACATGAAATTAAACCAAATTTAGATACAAATAACAATTTTTTAAATTTTTTTGTAAGAACACGATATTGACACAACTACTGAAATCTATTTAATACTTTAAATAAAGGCTTTTTTAATGATGGCAGCTTAAAGACGCCTCTCATATGGAGAATGAAGTCACATGCACTGCTTAGGTGTGAGTTTATCACAGACTTCAACCGAGTGTAAAAATCTTGATGTTTCTGTGAGTCTATCAAATCTCATCTTTATTTTGTGTTCTCTATTGGATTCAAGTCAGGGGATTGGCTAGGCCATTCCACAGCTTGATTTTCTTTCTCTGAAAGCATTTGAGAGTTTCCTCGGCTGTGTTTTGGATCATTGTCTTGCTGAAATGTCCATCCTGTTTTCATCTTCATCATCCTGCTAATCAGTGGCGGTAAAAATAATATGTGGCCCAGTAAGCTTTGAGATTTGTTTTACTTTATGCTAGTGTATTAATCCCAAGAGTGGTGATGCCAGAATAAAGACGTTAGTGGCCATTCACATTCGGTGTCTTTTGCTAGTTGACAAAACTAAAGTTGATATAATATAAGGATGATCTTATATTTTGACTAAGTATTGCTATAGAAGCAGAAAGAATGGGTAATGAGTCAGGGAGATAAGAACTCATAACATTATTTCTCGGCCTCGAGTCAAGTCCAAGATGAACAGATAATTCTACAAAACATTTTTTTTGTATTTTATAGAATTGTCAAAATTATTTTTTTTTCCAGTTACATTTAGGTTTGATTTCTATTATTTATTTATAATAATAATAATAATAATTGTATAATAATAATAATAAATAATAATAATATTAATAGTATTTTTTATTTATAATGATAGATAGATAGATAGATAGATAGATAGATAGATAGATAGATAGATAGATAGATAGATAGATAGATAGATAGATAGATAGATAGATAGATAGATAGATAGATAGATAGATAGATAGATAGATATGAAGTTAGATTTCAAAGGATAGATGATAGATAGATAGATAGATAGATAGATAGATAGATAGATAGATAGATAGATAGATAGATAGATAGATAGATAGATAGATAGATAGATAGATAGATAGATAGATAGATAGATAGATAGATAGATAGATAGATAGATAGATAGATAGATAGATTTCAAAGGATAGATAGATAGATAGATAGATAGATAGATAGATAGATAGATAGATAGATAGATAGATAGATAGATAGATAGATAGATAGATAGATAGATAGATAGATAGATAGATAGATAGATAGATAGATTTCAAAGGATAGATAGATAGATAGATAGATAGATAGATAGATAGATAGATAGATAGATAGATAGATAGATAGATAGATAGATAGATAGATAGATAGATAGATAGATAGATAGATAGATTTCAAAGGATAGATAGATAGATAGATAGATAGATAGATAGATAGATAGATAGATAGATAGATAGATAGATAGATAGATAGATAGATAGATTTCAAAGGATAGATAGATAGATAGATAGATAGATAGATAGATAGATAGATAGATAGATAGATAGATAGATAGATAGATAGATAGATAGATAGATAGATAGATAGATAGATAGATATGAAGTTAGATTTCAAAGGATAGATAGATAAACTAGATAGATACCCTTAACCCTAAACACTTACATTAAATAACCATACACCCCTAACCCCTTACCCTAAACCCTAACACTAAATAACCCTAAACCCTTAACCCCTAACCCTAAACCCTATTACTAAATAACCCTAAACCCTTATGGGGTGGTTCACCCAGGGTGCTATTCCAGCTAGCACCGCCACTGCTGCTAATGTAGATGTTGGACTGAAGCAGCTGAAGAACTACTGAGAGATTTCAGCTGCTGTCTGGGCTTTCACTGCCTTTTTTCATGTGTTCAATGCGTTTTCCCGGCACCATTTCATTTTATTACACAAAATTTAATTTGTAAACTAATTAGATTTGTTTTCTTTGCATATATGGATTTTTTTGGTAGTTACCAATATCCGGTAAAAATTTCAAGTCAACAGCACCTTTAGAAAAATGCTTTTGAGAAAAATGGTGACGTGTTCAATACTTATTTCTCCCACTGTATACACATTTGTTATGCATTTGGGTCACACTTTACAATTAGGTCTCATTAGTTAAGGTATTTACAAACATGAAGGAATAATGAACAGTACTTGTTATCATACCTCCTAATTAATCATAGCATAAAATCCAAATTCATGCTTGTTAACTTTAGTTAATGCACTGCGAGTTAATTAAAGCTTAAAATGAGCAACTTTATTTCCATTAACCAACATGAACAAAGATGAATAAATACTGTATTGTTCATGCTAGTACATTAATTAGATAACACAAAACTAATACAATCTTATTGCAAAGTGTGACCTGGTTTTCTATAAATAATTAACATAAGGGTACACAGTTGAAGACAGAATTATTAGCCTACTTAAATTATTAGCCCCCCGTTTATTTTTTCCCCTAATTTCGGGGATTTAACGGAGATAAGATTTGTAAGACAAGAAATATTAGAGAAGAACACATTTCTAAACAGTTTTAATAACTCATTTCTAATAATGGATTTATTTTATTTTTGCCATGATGACCGTAAATAATATTTTACTAGATATTTTTCAAGATGCTAGTACTTGCCTTAAAGTGAATTTAAAGGCTTAACTAGGTGAATTAGGTTAACTAGGCAGGTTAGGGTAATTAGGCAAGTTATTGTATAATAATGGTTTGCTCTGAAGACTGTCAAAAAAGCTTAAAGGGGCTAATAATTTTGACCTTAAAATGGTTTATAAAAAATTAAAAATTGCTTTTATTCCAGCAGAAATAAAACAAATAAGACTTTCTCCAGAAGAAAAAAATATTACCAAACATACTGTGAAAATTTCCGTGCTCTGTTAAACATCACTTAGGAAATAATTAAAATCCAAATTCAAAGGGGGGCTAATAATTCTGACTTCAACTGTATATTCAAATGCATACAAGAATGTATTTTGTGTGTGTGTGTGTGTGTGTGTGTGTGTGTGTGTGTGTGGTGCTATGTGAAGTATTGGTGTTCATACATAATAATACATATATTAAAAACTACCTTGCGTTTGGAAAAGCTGCCCATGAAGGTTCTGGCCAGACGTTTGTTTCCACCGATGTTGGCCTCATCTCCAGTGTCGGTACTATCTTCAGCTTTTCCCTGAATTAAAAGAAAATAATATAAGTAAATGATTTTTATGCACATGAGGCAGTGAAAATATGGAGAGGTGCATGATAAATACACCAAATCATACACTACTGGTCTAAAGTTTGGGATCAGTAGGGATTTTAAATGTTTTAAAATAAGCTTCTCCTGCTCACCAAGGCTGGATTCATTCATTCATTCATTCATTCATTCATTCATTCATTCATTCATTCATTCATTCTTCTTTTCAGCTTAGTCCCTTTATTACTCTGGGGTTGTCACAGCAGAATGAACCGCCGACTTATCCAGCATTTGTTTTACACAGTGGATTTGTTTTAACTGTGTTCCAGCTGCAATCCATCTATGTGGAAACATCCACACTCATACACTACGGACAATTTAGCCTACCCAATTTACCTGTGCTGCAGTACTTTGGACTGTGGGGGAAACCAGAGCACCTGGAGGAAATCCACATCAACGCAGGGAGAACATGCAAACTCCACACAGAAACACCAACTGAGCAGAGGTTCGAACCAGCGACACAGCGACCTTCTTGCTGTGACAGCACTACCTACTGCGCCACTGCCTCGCCTCATTATTATTATTATTATTATCATCATCATCATCATCATCATTATTATTATTTTTATTATCATTATCATTATGATCATCATTATTATTATTATTATAATCATTATTATTATTATCATAATCATCATCATTATTATTGTTATTATTATTATTATTACTAATATTATTATTATTATTATTAATATTATTAATATTATTATAGGGCGAAGCAGTGGCGCAGTAGGTAGTGCTGTCGCCTCACAGCTGGGTCACTGATTTGAACCTTGGCTCAGTTGGCGTTCAAGGATAAGTTGGATTAAAGGGACTAAGCAGACAAGAAAATGAATGAATGAATATTATTATTAATATTATTGTTAATATTATTATTATTAGTGTAATAGTAATAAAAGCAATGACTGAAGTAATTATTTCATATAAATCTACATACAATAAGGACACAGTTATTAAAATTTTAATAAATATTTAATAATTTAACTTTTTACACATTACATTTTTTTTTTACATTTGATAAACACTGCCTTGATGACAGAATAATAAAAAACATGAAAAACAAAAACAACCCCTAATTTTTGACCGGTAGTGTATACTACAGTACTGTAGTAAAACAGTAAAACAGTGAAGTAACAACATACATCGGGGGTGTCAAATTCATGGAGGGCCGCAGCCCTACACAGTTTAGTTCCAACCCTGCTCCAACAAACTTACTTGTAGGGTTTAAACAAGCCTGAAGGACTCAATTAGTTTAATAAGGTGTGTTTAATTAGGGTTGGAACTAAACTGTGCAGAGCCGCAGCCCTCCAGGAACTGAGTTTGACATCCTTGACATACACAGTTGATGAAATATTGACTAATTGACTCAATGATCACTAGGTGGCGATAGAGACCTGTAGGTGTATGAACATACTGGTATGGAGACTTGTCATGGAAAGCAGACGGTTTTCTTGCACTTTCAAAATGATTGTATTTGTACTCTATATGCTCACTAACATTCACAAATATATGTTTCCTTGCTGTTCATCTCATTTAAGAAAAAATAGGCTGAAAAACTATTAGGCTATATTAAAAGTTCATCCACATTAACACATCAGTATTTAGCATTACCGAGATGCATTAATCCCTATTGATAAGTCGAGTTCTTTTTATTATATTTTAAATTGATTTATTACTTAAAAAAAGGGAATATTCTGGTAAATATTTGAGCTATATTTATTTTTTAGAGTTACAGTTTTTGCTATTTTAGTCAGCTATAAAAACTATTAACTCCAAAAATGCAAATGACTAGAAGATGCGTGAATTATGAGGTCATAGTTAGCTTTCCTTATTTCAGACGAACACAATCGGGAAAATTCTTAAATCCTCTACCTCGTTTGCCCATTTTTTAATCGAAATTGATTCCATGCTTAAAGCTAAACGTCTATCTAACAATAAGAAATTCTGCAAGTTAATATTAACTTATGAAAATATCATGCTTCCAGTATGCTAGTAATTAATGCTTTCTGTATTTTTTAATTTCATTTAATTTTGTACTTCCCCTTTCCTCATTTTTTTCTCTTTTTTATTTTCTTTGTAGTACTCCTTTCTTTTTACTTATTGTTCTTATTACTTTGTAATTGTATATTCTTGTATTCCAGTTTTCTACAGATTACTTCATGATTTATATTATAAATCTCTTCTTTTCTAAAAAAAAAAAAAAAAAAAAAACACTGTTTAAAAAAACACTGTTTAAAAAAAAAAAGAAAAAAAAAACCCGAAAACAATTGGGAATAAAAAATTATAAATAACTCATGGCAGTGAATGGTGCCTGACATTTTTAAGCTCAAAAAAAAAAAAAAAAAAAAAAATCTATCCATCATGAAAGAAACTACAATCAGCAGGTCATAACCTTATTTAATTAGTGTCTATTTTGTGAATTCAAAGGATGTCATTCATACATTTTAATACGATTTGCTCATGCACCAATGACATTTGGGTTTAGGGTTGGGCCTTGGGCATACCATAGACCTGCTTTTCAAAAATCTCCCGTTTTTGTATGAATTAAATCATGTAAATTTGAACAAATCAGCCATTTTTTCTGACAATACGCTAAATAGTTACATTTCCTCATGAGATCAGGCTGATAGAATTGATTAGGTCAACGAATGCCTTGTGAAGTGATTATTTTTGTTTAAAAATATGCACTTCATAAGCCATTATCACCGGCTTCCCTGTAGAATGCTCATTCGTAAGAAAGTAAGATGTTATGATGGATGCTGAAATGGAGCGTCTCTGTTTGAAGTCTGATGTCCAGGATCATATCATCTGTTGCAACATGACTCTTGTGAATGTGCGTGTAACAGATCACGGTGCTGTCTAGACAACAATGTAATTGTTAGCAGACGGATTTAAAAACAAGATCAGCCAGTACCAGTGGTGTGAAGGAACACATTACAAATACTCAAATGGCTGTAATTGAGTAGGTTTGCACAGGAATTGTACTTTTACTAGGACATTTTAAACGATTTGTACTCTTACTTTCACTTAAGTACATTTTTAGTGCAGTATTGGTACTTTTACTCCACTACTTTCCTTCAACCTGCAGTCACTACTTTTTATTTGTTATTTTACTTGTCTTTGGTGATTATTTTACTTGTCGTGTGATTCCTGTCCAATCAAATCTACATAAAATTAAGGGAATTTAAGACTTTTTAAGGCTGTAACACTGTAATAAAACTTTATGATGCCACACCATTAAAATGAATGTTTATGACAATTTTCATTAAGTGTCATTCACTCAGTTATGACATTTTAAATGCAAGGATGACATCGTTTGAGTTGTCTTTTTTACGTCAAGTTGACATAATCAAATACATCATATCTTTGTCAGGTCAACTTGACATTCTCAAGACAACATAATGTGTCATAAACCTGTCATCAACATTAACTGTCATGATGCCATTATGACATTGTCGTGAATTTTATAACAGCATCATTCATATTTACATTTTTTTTAACCTCAAGTACCTTACAGCGGGACAAATTTAATTTGTCATTAAAATGTTATTACAAAACTATTATTATAAAAAAATTTGACAGATTAATTAAACTTTTAATGAGAATTGTTAATCACAAATTCAGCTTGTTTGACCAAAAAAGTGATAAAAAATATATTCATATTATCTATCTATCTATCTATCTATCTATCTATCTATCTATCTATCTATCTATCTATCTATCTATCTATCTATCTATCTATCTATCTATCTATCTATCTATCTATCTATCTATCTATCTATCTATCTATCTATCTATCTATCTATCTATCTATCTATCTATCCTTTGAAATCTAACTTTAAATCCTAATGTTCAGCCCTCAAAACACTGTTGCCCAACTGAATAGCCTGTCTGCAGTTTGAAGGACAGTGTGTGTATTTCAAGGTGGGAAAACTATAAAAATATAGTAAATGGTGGCTTTAACTTTGCCTGTATCAAGGACAGTGGTGTGGTGTTTTCTGTGAGTACCTTTGAGTGCTCTTATTTAAATCCGCCTCAAGTCAATCCTTAAATAACTACACTGTAGACACCTGTACAAGGACAGATCTAACCTAATTAGTCCACTTGCTGGACAGCGTTTGTCATCGTTTATACAGTACGTCTGTCCAGTGATTTAAAAACGCCTAAAGACAATCTATGGCCCTAATAGATCAAATTAGCAAAGTGCGGATTTTTAAAAAGTAGCTATTTTTAATAACACAGTGAATAATATTATTTACTGTTATGTGTTTGATTTTGTAAACAGTGTTGGGGTAACAAATAACATGTTACGTAATAATATTAAGTAACAAGTAACGCATTACTTTTAAAAAATAAGTTATAATATCTGAGTTACATTTTAAAAATCGGAACGTGAGTTTTTTTTTAGCTTAATACATTAGCTTTTAAAAATAAATTGGTGAATTAAAATTAAAGTTGTCACAATGAATCATGCAGTCAATGAGAGAACGTGTTCATCATTTTGAACGCACCGAAGAAAAGGAAAAGGGGATTGTCCCCGTGGACAGTAATTTTACTTAAGACAAATGGTCCTAAAGCAAACACATTGCTTTAAACTTTCATTAATCTGTATATACGGCATGTAGAGCTCTGGGGTCCGTTCTTCGTACCTCGCTTAAATGATCTAAGATGATTTGGCAGATCCTGGATCTTTTAATCTTGATAACTGATCTCTCGCTAATTTGGTTCTTCAAACAAGTTCGCGAATCAGATTAGAATGTCTGGATAAACTGATCTGAGATCGCTGCGTGTGTATTGAAGGACAGATCTATCGATCCTCTAAATCCTGATCAGCAATGCAACGATTGGCTGACGGCACAGCAGCGTAATGACATCATCTGATTAATATTCAATTATCCATGTGAGCAAAATTACTTCAAATTAGCAGTAAACGGTTTGTTAAATATGACACACAATAACTTTCCACATTTGTTGTGAGCTGCAGGCTTTACATTTTCATGTGTCAAGAGTATTCATCATGTATTTCAATGCAAATTAACGTATTTAGTTCTACATTTAGAAAAGATTTTCTTTATTATAGTAGCAGTTTTTTTTAATCGGTGTAAAGAATAACTGGTTGTTTACAAAAGCATTTTCATATTGGTAAAGGCGTCTGCAACTATTGTGAAGCATCAAATCACAAGCATATTAACTGTCAAAACATGTTTATGACTGCATAAATGTATTATTGCTTTTAAAAAAAGTCACATATTGTGCATGTTTATTATAAACAATTTGTACTAAGCGATCTAAAAAGTTCATATCAATAAGTTTTCTCTGTGCAGCACCAGGTGGCAGTCTTTCATTTCGAGAGTGCAGATTGCATAAGTTTTATTAATATATATAACTTAATTTATTTTATTAATAACTATAACTTTATATATATATATATATATACTTTAAAAAATATTTACTCTTTTCCCAAGTGTATATAACTACTACTGTACGAAAATATCAGAATTCGGAACACTTTCTGTATATCTTTGCTTGAACTAAGCCGATCTAATCCTGTTTATATAAATTGAACCTGCTCCCGATCAGGTTTGACCTAGCAGAACTGTTGCTATGACAACAACTCTCGGATCAGCTTTGAAGAATGAACGTCCTGATCCTGGATCGTGTCAAATCGTCAATATCCAAATCCAGCTAACTGAGTAATCCACGAAGAACGGACCCCTGGGGTCAGGAAGTTCTCAGATAACATTATCCTAAACTTTTTTTATGTGTTTACTTTTTAAAGGTAAATGAAGTTGAAAGCTATACAGTGTGTTGTTAATTGCAGAGCTCCTCTAAAAAAAAAAAAAAACAAGTTCTGAAAGAGATCAAGCCTGAGCCAGGTAATAAAAAGTTATGCAAAAGTTACTCAAAAGTAGCATCAAGCTTTACTTACCATAAAAAAGTAACCAAGTAACACAACTAGTTTTAGAGTAGGGTTTTTTGGGGAGTAACTCAATATTGTAATGTATTACTTTCTAAAGTAACTTTCCCCAGCACTGATTGAAAATATACAGTTGAAGTCAGAATTCTTAGCCCCTCTTTGAAAAGAAATCCCAAATGATGTTTAAGAGCAAGAAAACTTTCAAAGTATGTCTGATAATATTTTTTTGTTCTGGAGAAAGTCTTATTTGTTTTATTTCGGCTAGAATAACAGCAGTTTTACATTTTTTAAACATGATTTTAAGGACAAAATAGTATATAACCTAGTTTGGCCTGTAAATGACACTATAAGCTGTATAGAAATGTCTTGAAAAATATCTAGTCAAATATTATTTACTGTCATCATGGCAAAGATAAAATAAATCAGTTATTAGAAGTTATTAAAACCACTATGTTTAGAAATGTGTTGGAAAAAATATCACTGTTAAACAGAAAACAGGGAAAAAAAAAATCAACAGTGGGGCCAATAATTTTGGACATGGATGGGGGGCTGACTTCAACTGTATATAATAATTCTGACTTCAACTGTATATAAAATAAATTACTTTTCTAAAACGTGCACTTGTATGTGTTCCATAATTGACCCTTCCTCTTGTTAATCAAAATAAGAGTATTGATTAAACATATAATGCTGAATTAATCAAACATTTCCGTCACTTTCCGTTATGTGTCTGAGTGAAAGTAGTCAAAGCTGAGGTAACTGACTGAACGCTGGGGTTCATTTGCATATTCATGAGACAAGGGTATAGAACAGTGGTGTCCAAACTTGGTCCTGGAGGGCTGGTGTCCTGCAGGTTTTAACTTAAACTTGCATAAATACGCTTGCAAGGATGTCTCAAAAATGTCTCAAGGATGACTCCCCCCCACCCCCCACCCATTATTGAAGTTGCAGGTTTATTTAGGTATTTAGAGAAAAAAAAAATCACAGCACATTTTTACAAATTCAGCCTAACAGAATGTGGACTGAAATGGAATGCTAACAAACCACAGCAATGGTATTCACAATCCTATTAAACCTCCTAATGTAAAGTGAAACAGAACTCTGCTGTGAATGTATCAAGGCCCTTATAAATAGACTATTCATTTGAATTATTAACGATGGATTTTAAGGCACAGAGTTTGTGACTACAGGGGGACCTTAAATGACTGAAATGTAAGAGATTGTATTATAAATTAATTATAAAGATTAAAGTTAATCTCAGAGCACTTTAAAAGCAGTTTAAATGAGTAAAAGGTAGGAGATAGGAGAATAGGATGGTAACAGAATTAATTATTTATTTAAAATAATTAAAGGGAGGGCAGCACAGTGGTCTAGTGGGTAGCACATTAGCCTCACAGCAAGAAGGTTGCTGGGTTGAGCCCTGGCTAGGTCAGTTAGTGTTTCTGTGTGGAGTTTGCATGATCTCCCCGTGTTCGAGTGGGTTTCCTCCGGGTGCTGAAGTTACCCCCACGAGTCCAAAAACATGTTGTACGGGTGAACTGGGTAAGCTAAAATGTCTATAGTGTATGTGTGTGAATGATTGTGTATGAATGTTTCCCAGTGATGGGTTGGAGCTGGAAGGGCATCTGCTGCGTCAAACATATGCTGGATAAGCTGGCGGTTCATGTCGCTGTGGGGACCCCTGATTAATAAAGGGACTAAGCCGAAAAGAAAATGAATGAATAAATGAATAAATAAACGGGATAGTTCACTCAAAACTGAAAAATCTGCCATAATTTACTCTCCCTTCTCTTGTTCCAAACCTGTTAGAATTTCTAACATTATTCAAAATATCATCTTGTGTGTTTAACAGAAAAGGGAAACTCATAACGATGTAAAACCAATTGAGAGTGAGTAAATGGTGAGAAAAATGTTCATTTTTGGGTGAACCATCCCTTTATTTAATTTAAAAGTGAAAGGAGTAAATTAACTACACTGATTTTAATGTAGTCAAGTTGAATAGGTCTTTTTGAAGAAACAGTTTTTTTTAAAATAAGCTCATTTTCAACTCCCCTAGAGTTAAACATTGGAGTTTTATCAATTTAGATTTTATTCAGTCAATCTCCGAGTCTGACGAGAGCACTTTTAGCTTAGTTTAGCATAAATCATTGAATCTGATTAGACCATTAGGATCTTGTTAAATATGTAAAAAAAAAGAAGAAATAAATAAAAGAAATAATAATTATATATATATATATATATATATATATATATATATATTAATTAATTTATTTATATATATATATATATATGTATGTATATATATATATATATATATATATATATATATATATATATGTTGGCATTTCTGTTTGGCGTTTGCATGTTCTTCCTGTGTTTGCGAGGGTTTCCTCCGGATGCTGCGGTTTTCCCCACGAGTACAAAAACATGCACTACAGGTGAATTGGATAAGCTAAATTGTCCGTAATGTATGTGTGTGAATGGGTGTGTAGGAATCTGCTGGATGAGTTGGCAGTTCTTTCCACTGTGGTGACCCCTCGTTAATAAAGGGACTAAGCCGAAATGAAAATGAATGAATGAATGATTATTATATTCCTAGTTAAAGCTTTATAGTCCCTAGCTAGGCAAGTAGTAAAAGCACTGCATATATATCATATCATTGCGCCTGCTGCAGCAAAGTTCCTTGATTATTATGCCTAAATGAGTTTGGTTCCTAGACATATCGACCAAGAAAGCAGAAACTTTTCATTTTAAATATTTTTTAGTCAAACTTTAAGTGAGAATTTTATTACTTATTACACATTTTAAGGCTTTAAAGAAAACTCTCTTTTTTTTTTTTTTTTTTTGAGTGAGATGCTAATGGTCCAATCCGATTCAATTATTTATGCTAAGCTAAAAGTGCTCCCGCCAGACCCAGAGATGGGCTGAATGGATTCAAAAATGGTAAAACTCAACAGTTTAACTCCAATGGACTTGAAATACGCCTAATTCCTAAATAAAAGTGGAGTGCTCCCAATGTTTTTGCAAGCAAATGTGAATTTATTTGTAAATGTGATACAATTTTCAGTTCTGAAAGAAGGAATGACACATTTGGTCAAGTTAAGACTAAGCTGAAAAGAAAATGAATAAATAAAGGAATAAATGAATAAATTATTATATTATTATTTTCCTATTTAAAGATTTATAGTCCCTAGATATGCAAATAGTAAAAGCACTGCATACTGTATATATCATATTATTGCTCCTGCTGCAGCAAAGTTCCTTGATTTTTACGCCTAAATGAGTTTGGTTCCTAGACATATCGACCTAATAAGTAGAAACTTTTCATTTTAAATAATTTTAAAGTCAAGCTTTAAATGAGAAAGTTATTACATATTACACATTTTAAGACTTTGAAGGAAACTCTCTCTTTTTTTTTTTTTTGAGTGAAATGCTAATGGTCCAATCCGATTCAATTATTTATGCTAAGCTAAGCTAAAAGTGCCAGACCCGGAGATCGGCTGAAAGTTTAACTCTTATGGACTTGAAATGAGCCTAATTCCTAAATAAAGGTGGTGTGTTCCCAACGTTTTTGCAAGCAAATGTGAATTTATCTGTAAATGTGATCCAATTTGCAGTCCTGAGAGTAGGAAAGACATATTTGATCAAGTTAAGCATATTAACCTTCAGTGGCGATTTGTCATGTTTTCCTGACGGTGGCAGGGCTGTGATGGTAAAACTGTCTGGATCTTCCCGGTCGCGAATCTTTGACTCCTTCATGAGGTTATCTAATTTTTTCTTGGCCACATTCTCCGCCTGCTTTCGGTTCATAGACGTCTGGAAAGGAAGAGATAGAGAAATGAATTTGACTGGACCTCACAGGTGATCTGATATCCTAATATTAGCATTGTAACAGCATTTGCAGAACATCAAGGTCAAAACCATTCATCAAAATATCCAGGTCGGTTCAGCTTAAGTCCTTGACCCAATTTTACACATGCAGAGAAATTCATGACGGATATTCATGTATCAAATGCCTCTTTTATTTCTTACATTACAGCACTCAAAGTGGAGCCTTCATTCAAAATGTATGAGGTTTTAGTGTGTAACGTACGACTGAAATGTTCTGCTAAAGTAACATGACAGATGCACTTGAAGAATTGAGGATTAAAGTAACTCTCCTTAAACTTCCATGAAACTTGTGATTAAAATAAAAATCACAATAGAACAACATCAATCATTTTGCATTATAAGAAATTAAATTGAATTCATTGCAATTAAAGTATATTAAAACTCTAAAAAAGTTGAATCACTTCGGAAAAGGTTACAATTGTGAAATACGATTTTAAGAAGATAATATAGATGCAAGCAGCACTAGTCTGGGTTCAAGTGGTTTAAGGCCAACAGTATCTATTTTTTAGTAAGTCTGTATAAATTCAGGGTTACAAAACTACTATACAAATGCACAATTTCAGGCCAGTCGCCATATAAACACAGCATTTTCCTTTTTTGTTAACAGTTGTAGGGTGACCAGTTGGTTGAACATCGTTAAACATTTTCATGAGTCTTAAGTTTATGCTAATGAATGATTTGTGAAACGTGCAATATACAGTCACTTAGGGCCTACCCCCACTATGCCATCCGTACCGTGCCCAGGCCCGTTTCCCGGATCGTTTGAGAAGTGTGAGTGCGCTGAATCGGGCTCAAGCACGGTTCACTTAGCCGGCCCTGGCCCGGTTGGAAGAGGTGTGCCTGAGAGCGGTACACTTGGGCTTTGGTAACTGAAAGCGATACGTGACTTTTAAGGGGTTGTTTCATATGGATTTATTAATCATTCTTACTGTTCAGTGATCGCAAACTGCCGTAGTTTATTAAAGACGAGAACTCCTCACAGCATGACAGCTGCGCACCTTCAGCAGACCTCCTCATTCCTGCAGCACGAGAGCTTAATGATTGTTTATAATCTGTCCGGTGAAATATCTGACTGCGTGTCACCGCATCCCTAAGAACTGTTTGTTGAAATATTTGACTGCATATCACTGCGTAACAAACGACTGAAACGATATAACTAGAGAAATCTCCACTGTGCTACTGGGTGAGAGTGTATGGCAAGCCGTTTTAGCATTTAAACCTTGTTCTGACTATCCATAAATATATTTAGAGATATCTCTAATTATATTTTGACTAGTCATAATTATAATTCGACTAGTCAGATTGGAGATATCTGCAAATATATTATGACTGACTAGTCATATTCCTCCATTGACTTCCATCAAAAAATATTTGCAGATATCTCTAAATGAGTTTTGACTAGTCACAATTGTAATTAGGGATATCTCCAAATGAATTTTGACTAGTCAAAAATCCAATTCAAGATATCTACAACTGTAATTCGACTATTAGTAAATTTATTAGAGATATCTTCAAATATATTTGTAAATATATCTAAATATGACAAATTAAAGATATCTCCAAATGTATTATGACTAGTAAAAACTCTTTTTAGATATCTAATTACAATTGTTACTAGTCAAAATTCATTTGGAGATATCTCTAATTACAATTGTGACTAATCAAAACTCATTAAGAGATATCTGCAAATATTTTTCAATGGAAGTCAATGGAGGAATATGACTAGTCATAAGATATTTGCAGATATCTCCAATCTGATTTCGTACTAGTACAATTGTAATTGCAGATATCTCTAATTGTCATTCTGAGTAGTGGAATTATAATTATGACTAGTCAAAATATAATTAGAGATATCTCTAAATATATTTATGGAGTCAGAACAAAGATTTAAATGCTAAAAAGGCTTGCCATAGAGAGCGCTTCACTGAACAGAGCAGCAGCGATGACGTAAGAGTGTCGAGGCCCGATGTGAGCGCGGGCCGTCAGAGGAGACAGGAGGGGGGACAAGCGTGCTTTGGCCCGGTTCGAGGCAACTGTACCTAGTGTGAGTACGGCCTTACACACACACATTTCAATATTTCACTCTATGCCACCTTGGCTCCTCAATGACTTGCCATCATATCGTGGTAAAGGAAATTGAGCGCCTGAGTGATCCTAAGAGCTATGTTGTCAGGGGCTAATGCAAAAAGGTCTTAGATGACAGGTCAGACTAAGGCCGTACTTACACTATGCACAGGTTCCTTGAACCAGGCCAAAGCACGCTTGTCCCAACTCCCGTCTCCCCCGACGGCCCGCTCTCATATTACATTCGGGCCTGGGCATGTCATCGATGCTGCGCTGTTCAGTAAGCTCTCTCGCTCAGCACAGTGGAGATTTCTTTAGTTATATCGTTTAAGTTGTTTGACATGCAGTGACACGCAGTCAAATATTTCGCAGAACAGATCAGCCACTTTTGACGCTCATAAACAATCATAAAGTCCTCGTGCTGCAGGAATTAGGAGGTTTGCTGAAGGTGCAGCTGTCATGCAGTGAGGGGTTTGCGTCTTTAAATAAACTGCGACAGTTTGCGTTCACTGAATGATTAATTAATTCATATGAAACAGTCCCTTAAGTCAAGTCTCGCTTTTAGTTTCGGGCTTAGGCGCGCTTTGCACTCACACATAAGCGTACCGCGCCAAAGCCCATAAGAACCGCGAGCCTGATTTAGAGCACTCACACTTCTCAAACCGTCCAGGAAACGGGCCTAGGCACGATTCGGATAGCATAGTGTGAGTCGGCCCTAAGTGTAGTTCAAAAACCCCTTATGAGCGCAAACACACGTGGCCCGCTATGCCATAGCCAGGGCCCCAATCTGAAGCCAGGCCTGGTGGCCAGGTTTTATCCCACAGAACCTGGCCGGGCTCAGCTCAAAGGAGCAATATGCGACCATCCTCCTCCAGGCCCACCACCTGCTGGGTGAGCCGTAAGGAGCCAGTCCATTGCGGGACGGGTGGTGGTTGAAGGTTAGAACCGCGACAACCCTATTGACAGGCACAGGGACTATGTTTCTCAGCTGGCCTGGGAACGGCATGAAGGCATGGAGCTAGAGGAAGTGTCTGGGGTTCTCTCCTGAGACTTCTGCCCCATGACCCGGCACCAGAAAGTAATAAGCCACCTTGGCCAAAGACACCGAATGTCGATTATCAAGTCAGTTGGACTAGCAGTCCTAGTTTCTTAGCTTTCCTGTTTTATTTTCACATTATAGCATGACCATGTGTTCAACTGGCCTACTTTTTGTTTTAAAGTTACCTCAGATCAAGTTCCTACATGCATCCTGAGTTTGGTGATGGTATGTCATTCTGTTCCTGAGTTATGGAGATTTTTTGTAGAAGTGGCCCCACTGAATTTGGAGGTTTCACCGTTTGGTGGCGAACCAGAGTAGAACCTTTGTAAAGTTTAAAGTCTTTTAGGCTGCGTCCAAAATTACTATGAATGGAACTCTGACGTACTACATCCACCATTAGTCATTGTCACATGACCTACCAGCGTCAGCAGCATCGATTCACTCCCAGTCATGAATTCTCTCATGGTGCAACCATCCGATGCACACTTCAAAATCTCGCTGAAAGTAGTAGGTCATTGGGGAACTTCTCACATACTGTTTTCTCACATACTTCGAATTCTATGAATTTGGACATATGTACTATGCAGTTGCACAGTCACCAGCCATGCATATCGCTGGAGAACTACAAATCTGCCAGCAAAAGAACTACAAGATCCAGTCATGCATCACTCACAATCCTGTCTGATTGCAAACACTCACAGCTAAAGCCGCTAATGAACTAATTACATATATACGCATACATCTGTGCTGAGTCTTGTTTTACAGTTTTGTGACATTACGATGTGTTTTCCTTGCCTTGTTTTTTGACCCTCGCCTTGTTTTTTGTTTACGTTGCCTGCTGCCTTCCTGTACTGACTATTGCCTGTGTATTTGACTATGACTCTGGATTTGCCTACATACATCTGTTTGCTCCTAACCATCTCTGTATAAAAACCCTGCGTTTGGATCCTCACCTCTGTTGTCAGTGTCCCTTTACATTACAATAGTAGGGAAGTATGCAGTTTTGGACGCAGTGTATGATATACGTTTTTGTTTGCCCAATAATTTTTTTAAGCAGAAAAGTGACCTTTGAACGATTACAATAGGGGTTCAGTACTATGCTTGAACCCCTAATAATTGTGGCATTTCTTTTTGTAGTATTAATGCTTATTAAAATGATTCTACCCACGAGCTTAACAATGTATTAACATGTTTCACTAGATCTAGTTTACATAAATACAGTCAAGCATGAAATCATTCATACTTTTTTTTATTTCAAGGTAAAAAGCCGAGATATTTTTTTATCCACAATGACGCCTCTTGCATAAGACTATACAAATCTTTTAAGAGAAGCCTGTCATTACCTGTAACCACGGGGAGATGACACATACAACTGAAGGTAAGATCCAAATGCAGGTTTATTCGTCGTCAGGCAAGCAATGGTCAATACAGGTACAAACGGGTATGTGTAGGCAGTCCAGAATCGTAATCAGTAACAGGGGAGAGGTCAAAAGGCAGGCGGCAGGCAGGGAGAACAAGAGTACAGGCTAGGTAAAACACGGGGAAACAAGACAAGGAATAACGCGTTGTAACATCATCTACTGATAAACAAGACTCGGCAAACTGAATAGGTGAGTGTGTGGCTTAAGTAGTGTGGACAATCAGTCTCTGACAATCCTCAGGTGGTGCGAGTAATCAGTCTAGATGAGGAAGCATGTGGGAGTGTGACCGGAGTGCATGTATGAATATGTAGTCCAACAATGGCGGAATTGTAGTCCAAGGTTATGGTAAGTGAGATCTTATGGAATCCGATCGCTGGTAATCGTGACATTACCAACCTGCTGGTTGAATAAAGGTTAAAATAATAAATAAAACTTTAGGTCAGAATTTGCCAGGGGTATAAACAATTTCGGCCTGACTATGTATACAGTAATATAACCAAAAGCACTGGCAGCTTTCATACTATCACCTACATAACTAACTGTAACATCGGGGAGTGACACCAACAACAGAAGGTAGGATCCAAATGCAGGTTTAATCGTAGTCAGGCAAGCAATGGTCAATACCGGGGCAAACAGATGTATGAGGACAATCCAGAGTCGAAGTCAAAATAACAGGCAGTTGGTCAGAGGTAGGGATGGCTGACGTGAAACTGACGTTTCGACACTGTGTCGAGATCCCGAAGCGCAAGTGTTTCGAAACACTGTACCGAAGCATGATCCGAAACACCCAGGTCACGTGACTAAAGTGTTTCGAAACACTTGGTCACGTGACAAAAGCGATTCAAAGCATCGATCATTTCAGAGGCGTTTCAAGACCCGGAGAATCTGCATTTCACTGGCATGACCTTTATTAAGTCTTCGACTTGTATGGTCTAGTGGACCGTGCGTGTGCACTTTAGAACTGTATTTCGAATTTATTTTGGGTTCGAATCTCGACTATTACAAATACTCCAAAATCATGATTTTATGTATTTTAATCATGTTACTGTTTTATGGTGTAGCCTAAATAGGATACAGCTGCGGATACACCATCAATTTAGCATCATTTTTGTAACACTGTAAAACAATAATTCATATTTTTACAGTACTGTGATGGGTTTAGGTTTTGGATAGATGTTAATAAAATACAATGGGAAATTTAATTAATAATAATTATTGTTAACTTCTGGCCACAACTGTATCTGATCTAGTAACAACCCTGTTATATGAACAAAATACAAATTTATTTACAAATGTTTATTCGTATGTCAGAGCAATGTTGAAACAAAACGATACAATAACAAAGCATTACCAACTGGTATTAAAGCATCTCAACACACTTGTGACAGTCTGGATTCGAACCCATTTTTCCCGCATGGTAGTCATGTACTCTAACCGCTCGACTAAACCATCTGATGATTCAAGGCTACAAAGTGGGGTTTGATACATCAATTTGCTCAACTGTTCTTTGCTGAAGCTGTTTCAGTGAAATACAGATAAAATGACCACTAGGTGTCACCGTAGAGTGGTGTTTCGAAACGTTTCGAAGCTTCGACAAATTTGCTTCGATAGTTTCAGTGTTTCACGAAGCCTCGCTTTGCCCACCACTAGTCAGAGGCAGGCAGCAAACGGCATTAAATAAATAAACAAGGCAAAGGATCAAAAACACGGCAAAGACAGACAAAGGAAACCGTTGTAATGTCACTGTGACAGATAAGAAGACTCGGCAATGTGAATGAGTGTGTGTGCTGCTTAAATACTGTGTGTAATCAGTCTTGAAGCAGGATCAGCTGTGGGAGTCTAATCAGTGGAGACTTGAAGCAGGTGCGTGTGTGTGTGGCATGACTGAATACGTAGTCCATTTACTGGCAGACTTGTAGTTTCATGAGTGAGTGTTTACCAGCGACATCTGGTGGTTTGTTCACTGGTAAACATGACACTAACATATAATTTCAAACTACATTTTAAAAGTCACTTTATTGAAATGCCAAGTTACGTTTTCAACATTTAATGCTGCCATGGAAACTGTGTTTATACACATCTGCACCAGAACCATCTAGAATTACTTACATCTCCATTCAACAGCTTACAATCGTCCTCCATCTCATCTGCACTGTCTTCATCAGACACGTCCCCCTCCTCTGCGTTCTCATCTATATTTGAGGGTAGTTTCTTGCCCTGTAAACACAAACAAACACATACAGTAGAAGACATGTAAATAAAACATTTGTGAAATGAGTTGCACACACTAAACACTACGGTCCAGTGTAAAAAGTGGAAGAGTTTAAAAACCTCACACTTTCTTTATTATTTAAATTCAATGCTATATGCAATTACACAAGCTTAAGGCAATAAATTTAATACATTCCTGATACAAATCACAGTTCTTCACACCTAAAAAAATACTATAGTAATTTATAGTCAAATCTATAGTAGTTTTAAATTGTGTTGAGCGTCAATATGTGACGAGTCGGGAGTGAGAATGTATTGCACAGCAATAGGGCACTTGAGTTGATTTGTAATATAACTGAGCGGTAGAGAACAGCACTCTTACTGTATGCATTGACTCCAGAAACTCAGCGCCGACATTGACATGGACATTAACAGGAAAAAATGTCAGTGACAGAAATGGGTTAATCAATAAAGAGTCAAAAACGTCTGCCCCAAAGAGTAATTAGTTTTAGTCAGGGATGTAATTGGCTTTGACACGTGTTATAAAAATCAATTGAACTTTCTACCCAGTTTTATGACAGCATTATTTACCTCAGAGATTTATACTGTAACTGCAGCTTGCAAGTTAATTAAACTAGAATAAACCCTTTTCCATCCTAACTCTAATGGATTTAATTCGTGAATAGAAAATTATAAGGTTATTTAATGTTACAAATATAGTTTGGCTTTCATTGACTTTTAGTGTTTTTGTTTATACAATGTAAAGTTTAACCTCTAAGGGCCCTATCATACACCCGGCGCAAGGTGGCGCAAGGAGCGGCGCAATACTTGTTTGGTAGTTTCAGCTTGGCGCAAGAGTCGTTTTGAGGCGTTGCGCTACGCTGTTTAAATAGCAAATGCATCAGCGCTCATATGTGCGCCCATAGGCGTTCTGCTCTAAAAAGGAAGCCGTTCTGAGGCGCACTGCTGGCACGTTGCTATTTTGAGAAACTAAAATAGATTTTTCATTAGACCAAAACAAACCCGGTCTGAACTCCAGCGCAGAGTTGCGCCTCGCTTTCACACTGCTTAATACGCACAAGAAAACAATAGGCAAATATCTTTACATATGAAAAAATTTAAATATTAAGGAAATATATAGGATATAATAAGAGTAGATATAGGATATAAATATAAAGGATTAAAATATTACAAAACATACTTTTTTCTAGCCTACATAAATATGAAAAATCACTGCTTTTATGCCTTCATCTCGGGAGGCTTTTTCAGTTCATTCATAACAATTTGCTTTTGTATAATGTTATTATTATTAGCAGTATTATTTCTTATATCCATATTTATATTTGTTTTATTAAAAACAAGCTTAGATTTGCCCACCTGTCAGGTTTTAGATCATATGGGGCACAGCATGTGTTTTAGGATATAACTCAGGTTTTTGAGCACATTTTGTTATTATTATTAATTTATTCGTTTGCTGGAAATTAGAACTGAATTTAGAAATAGTTTTGAAACCAATATTTGCGCTTAACAAACGCAATTAATTATTTTATAGACTAATTGATGTCTGTGCGTAAAGGTTTCCCTATCCAAGAGCAAAAGTGAAAGTGATACTGCAGTAATATTTTGCTAATATAGGGAAGTAATGCTAGGCTAGCTGTTTGTGAGTTAAATTTATTTTAAATGGAATAACCAGCTCATATACTTTCTTCAAAAAAATAAAAAATAAAAAAATTATTTGGTGTGATAATGGATATTTTTAATTAGGATAAATGTGTTTCTGACTGGATCAGAAGTAAGCAGACTTTTATATTTTTGGACAGGGTATATTAAACATGAAAAGAAAGGGTGAGATAACAGACTTCTTTATGAAGAAGCACAAACAATCTGCTTTTTCTTTTCAAATCCAGGTCTGTTTAATGTCTGCTATGTGTAATTGCAGTATTTGTTTTTTCTTCATGCTAATGTTTTTCTAAATGAATTCCGCATTGCTTTATGCAAATAAAATTTTTGAATTCCTTAATTTATTATATAATGTTTGAGTACAGTGTGTGTGGACCCCTTAAAATAGCAGTGGCCACCCCATGTAAAAAATTACAGCTCGGCCATTGTTCTTGCGTTATTTCGAGCAAATTCGATCTTCCGGTTTGAAGCTTAATTTCCTAGCTACGTCACAGCAATGAGATCCTTGTGTAAATTCCAGCATGGATGTCTGTACCGGCTGGCACAATGTGACGTCTTTGAGTTTTTATCATTGATTCATGAAAAAGGCTTGGTTCGAACCAATCACTAAGATTTCTCGCTACTGAAGCATTCAGTTTTTCCACTTGCAAAGTCCATGACATGACGCAACTGACTTGGTTTGGTGCACATTTTAATTGCTTTTTGAAATAGACTATATTTGCATTTAACTATAATTTGATTCAAAACAGTTTCCTCAACATTTCCATTAAGTGATATAATGTTACGTTTTGAATATTTAAAACCTCCAGCATTTCATATGAATCATTAACATTATTTTTGGGTTATAACAAATGTTATTCAAAAGATTTTTATGATGTTTCAGACTTTTGATATTTCTTACAACGACTTTAAACTAGAGATCTGCACGGGACTAAATTTTGAATCCCGCTCCCACCTGCTCCTGCCAGGTTTTAGCCCGAACCCGACCGCTTCCGCTCCTGCTTATATTCAGCATTTGTTGTCCCGTTGCCCGCCCCGCCCCGTTTTCTACCCGCCACGCCCGTTCCCGCTAACAGACGGGGGGAGAACAAAACTGAAAACCACCCAGCTATTGCCTATAACAAGCTGTCTGTATAAACACACACACATAAAAGCTCAAGCAAGTGACACACACACAGACTGCGTCACGCTGTCTCATGCACACACTCAGACACACACACACAAGCTAAACGCAGCATCACGCTGTCTCATTCACACACATACATACGCGTGCTCGCTCGGGAGTCGGGAGCGATATTGTTAGACTGCCCACTCCCGTCCAAAATTAAACCAGTTATTGACCGCTCCCACACTTTATTCGGAAATTTATTCCTGCGCCGCAAGAAATCTAGTTGGGTCCCACGGCTGCAGACCTCTACTTTAAACCTTGAAAAGTTTGAAAAATTACTTTTATTACCATTTTTAATAGTTGTAAGTGACATATTGTCTGGGTTGGTGTTGTACATTAAGCTACAAAAACCTTGTAATACACCGCATATACATTTTCAGTTATTTTACAGACTCATTTCTCTATATATTATTTCTTATTCATTATTTCAACCTACTGAAATACCAATAAGAGTCACTTTGTAGAGTTTTCAACATCAAAAAAAAAACAACAGTGCAAAAATCAAGGTCCCGAAAAGCAATTTATAACCGTAAACCTGAAAATTTTACAAAATACAGAAACTGTTAATTAAGACATACAGTTGAAGTCAGAATTATTAGCCCCCCCTGATTTATACAAGAAAACAATTTGATAAAAAGGGGCTAATAAATTTGACCCTAAAATGGTTTTGAAAAAAATAAAAACTGCTTTTATTCTAGCAGAAATAAAACAAATAAAACTTTCTCCTGAAGGCAAAATATTATCAGACATACTGTGAAAATTTCCTTACTCTGTTAAACATCACTTGGGAAATATTTAAAAGAGAACAAAAAATTAAAAGGGGGGCTAATAATTCTGACTTCAACTGTATGTTTTACAGTGTAGGCTGAATATAATAATCGTGTTTAATGGTAACACATCAATGCTTGGGTCAGATTCAGCCATGTGGCGAGTATATATTCAGCTCCACGTGCACCACAATCCACAGCCCGTGCCCAGCAATTTGTCAATAGCACCGGCTGGCCCAGTTTACAGTTCAGAATTCACTCTCTAGTGGGAACGTCAGTCCACTTTCCAATTATAGCGCCAACTCGCTTGCTCCATCTATGGCCCAATTTTCAACCCTCACACTTTATTAAAAGCACAGGAGAGGGCTCCAACTCGGTAAATACATTTTATATCATTAAGTCTCTACTGTTCAGCTGCTCTAAAAGGCTTTCTGACAGCCCAAAAATAAAGAGGAGTAAGCATCACTATTTTTTTTTAGTAATGCATCTAATATTTATGCACAAATCATTCTGAAGGTCAATCTTCAATTCAATATTATAATTAATTTCTCATTTTCATTTCTTCAGCCAGATCCACATTACCCCTTTACTCTCACCTTTAATTAAAGTGAAAAACACCAAGAAATACACCAAGAACCAAAACAGTAAAATAATTCTTTAATTAAAAATATATAACAGCATATTAGTTAAATATAGAATAGATATAATAGGTAAATAAAAAAAACATAAGAGCATATTTTTAGAGAATTACTTTAAATGGTGCACTTTTTAAAATGTACATAATTTTTTTTTTTATTAGCGCTGTCAAATGATTATTTGTGATTAAACTGCAAGCCAAGATAAAAGTTTGTATGTACATAATATATAATAATATATAATATATTGAAGTCAGAATTATTAGCCCCCCTTTGATTTTTTTTTTTCTTTTTTAAATATTTCCCAGATGACGTTTAACAGGGCAAGGATATTTTCACAGTATGTCTGGTAATATTTTTTCTTCTGGAGAAAGTCTTATTTGTTATATTTTGGCAAGAATAAAAGCAATTTAAAATTTTTTAAACACCTTTTTAAGGACAAAATTATTAGCCCCTTTAAGCAATTTTTTCGATAGTCTACAGAACAAACCATCATTATACAATAATTTCACAAATTACCCTAACCTGCCTAATTAACCTAATTAAGCAGATCAATAAACTCACTACACTTTACCAAATATTCCAGCTGTTGGACACTATAAATGTACTTTTGAGGCTTTTTGTTAGGTGAGAATGTAGTTGTTTAGATTGTGGTTTATTAATAAGAATAGTGCCAATTTAAAATTTTTATAAAGATACAGTGTGTCAGTATCTATCAAGACGGTTGATATTGTCCACTTATAAGATGGCGACAGAGACCGTAGACTGATTCCTGCCGTTCAGCTTTATAGTCTTAAAATGTGAGCAAAATCACCTGTTTTTTCATCACTTTAGACATTACGCTAGAGAATCATTCACATACTAAAGTGACGGGTGTGAAAGTAGCAACGGTTTCCGCTTTTCTGACATCAGATGCAGATGTGAATGAGTGGCGGAAGAAAGTAGTTCCTCATACAAAAGGATTCCCCGTGTTTGGTTTTCTTTTTTATATACACGATTATGCCATCAAGCTATTGTATTAACGCAATATCACACGAGTAGCAGTGCGATATGGCTGTTTATCATCACTGGTGAACCATTATAGCAGTCTGCTTGCGGGCTCATGCCAACGCTCGTCTCCCCACCATATACAGCCATATCGCACTGCTAATGGTGTGATATTGCTCATAGAGATAATCAACGGCTAATTCCTAAGGAGCGTTATCGTCACCTACTGTATTTCCAACCCAAGCTCATTCTGAAAACTTAGTCCCGCGGACGTTTCTGGAGACAGCGGAATACGTCCCGCGGGTGGTGTGACGCCGTTCCCTTTCGCGCTTACCTTACCTCCTTGTGGAGGGCTTCCCCGCTGCAAGCCGTTTGTCCACTCAGCTCACCGTGTACGTCGGCAGGCTCGAGATGCAGAAAGGAGTCGACCACGGCGACCGGTTTCAAGACCGGGGAAGAGCGGTTCCAGCAACCAGGTAAGACGAAAACAGAATCCCTAAAATTAAGTGAACGAGTTTCGTGACAGAGTGAGAACGCGGTGAAATCCAAAAATGCGATAGAGAAAAAAAAATTGGGGCTTTTATTTTTTTGGACAGCTTTTTGTAAACTGTTGCTTGGGTTTAGGGAAGCGAGCGGGCGGGCGAGTCGATCGGTAAAATTGGTTGGGTTCAGGGAAGGAGGAGGGTGGGTCGGCCGATTGGCCGGTCGCGCAGTCAATCATCCGGTCAGTCAGACAGCGGCCTCCGGTGGGTTCACGCGAGAGAGGCGTCTGAGGTGCGAAAAAGAGCACAACAGCGGCCTCTCGCGGATTCGCGAAAACAAAAACTGCAGCCGTACTTACCCGCCGGGACGTATTCCGCGGTCTCCAGAAACGTCCGCGGGACTACGTTTCCACAATGAGCTGGGTTGTGCATTTCATAAATATGTCAATTGATTGCCATTTATTATGATAGACCCTGAACAGTTAAGTTTCCCATATCAGTCATTATATCATTATTACAATGTAACAGTCATTTTAACCTGGGTCAGAGTACATAGGGCCCTGGCAATTTAGGGGCCCAGCGACAAGTTGTCTTCACTTACGAGACTATATTGTACTATATTGTACAATACTATATTGTACTATATTGTATTTTAATATGATGCTTTAAAGACAGTTTATCTTATCATAATATTAATATTATTCTGAAAAAAAATCAATGCATGTACATTACACAAATACACAACCCAGGATCTTTAGAAATATGTGGCTCAGCCTACAACATTGCGAAAATACGTTGCTCTGGGTACATTTAGTTTCACACTTCAGATGAAAAATCCACTAGAGGGCGCTGTTTACATTTTGCAAATCTGAAATGGGTTACTTAGAATACACATATATAATTCTTTAATCATCAATAGCATGTCCCTGTCATTAATGTGAAAATGAACAAGAGTTGTTCCGCAGCTTTCATTTTCCCTAGAAATTGCAGTCAAACGTACATTAAAGTATGTTTTTTGCGCTTTCACAAAAATCTATTCTAGTATGCATTTCCATTGAGCTTGTGTTACTAACATCCTGATTACTAGTATCTGATTAACATCTAAAAATGATTTTAGATCTGTAAATCCATTAACCTTGATCAGTATTTTGCCTTTCAGGGCTTCAGGTGAAGGCAGAAGTCCTGACGGGTCAGCGGGGATGGAGGACACGTCCAGTTTATCCCCCAACACTTCAGTCAGATACTGAGCCATTTTCTTTTGCTGAGGGACGCTGCAGTGATTCTCGATGGACAGAATCACTGGATACCTGCAGAAATATAGATGCAGTTATAGATCTAAAATAATAGTGTAATAACAGTAGTAACAGTGAGGCTAATAAAAGTAATTAAAGCATTATTCAATTTGGACAGACTGCAAATGGATGGTTCCAAAATATTCAAAGGATTTGGTATAAACTTTTTCATGGATGTGAATGAGACTCTCTGTATGCTTATAACAATTGTCATTACTCAGTTATGACATTTTAAATGTAAAGACAACATTGTTTGAGATGTCCTTTTTTTACGATAAGTTGACATATCTAAATACATCATAACCTGTCCTTTTGACAACAACTTGACATAACTAAGACAACATGACTTGTCTTAAATCTGTCATAAACTTGATTGTCAAGAAGCCATTATAAATACGTCATGAATTTTATAGCTAGATCATTAATATTTTTTTACCTCAACTACAGTGGTACATGCTGAATTTGTCATTAAAATGTAATTAAAAAAATTATTTGACAGAGTAATGACACTTTTTACGAGATATTTTAATGACACATAAACCTTGTTCCACTGAAAACAGGATCACAAAAACATTCACAACACATTTATAATGCCTCAGGACATTTATGTTTATGACAGATTTATGACAAGTGATCGGCAAACCGTAGATTATTGCTTACTTTTAATATTCCATCCACATTATATTAGTGGTTAAAGAACGCTTTCTTAAAGTTCTCAAAAAAAACAACAATACTTTACAGATCCTTAGAATGGTCACAACACCCATTTCCATATAGATTTATATAATGATGCTTTTGTTTTATTACAAGAATGTTATTTAAATGTTTTTTAGAATATTCCAGTTTTATATAAATAAATGTAATTAATTCCTTATTTAAAACATTATTCCATTTACACTAACGTTAAAGAAAATTTTTCTATCAATGTTGAAAGAATGGTCCCAAAATATTATTTTAATAATGTCACGTGTAAACATTTACAGTATTTGAGGAACGTTACATTATTAAAAATGTTTTTAGTTCCAGTTTCATGTAAAGTTTTTATCAAAACCTTATTTCAAACATTATTCCATTCGCATTACACTGTTTGGAGAACATATTTGTTTAACTTTGTAAGAATGTTCCCAAAACATTATTTTAATAATGTTACAGTATCTTCCTTTACACTACTTTTAAGGAATGTTACAGAATGTTCGTGGTTAGATGCGCACCCATGTCGCGTGCTTTTGACTGTGGGAGGAAACCAGGGAAAGCCAGGTTAAACCTATGCGAGCAAGGGGAAAACAAGCAAACTCCGCACAGAAATGTCAACTAGCCCAATGAGGACTTTAACCGGTGCATTCTTGCTGTGCAACAGTGCTAATCACTGGGCCGCCCAATCTAGAAAAGGAGTAGACGTGGGAAGGGGGATTCTTTAAGACGAAGAAAACTGAGGTAATAAACTATTTATAGTGAGTTAGAAATCGTCTGATTGGTGAATCATGCAGGCACATGCACACATAGGGCTCAACCTGTGCAGTGCACATGCCCTTTTTAGTCTTGGATAGAAAGTGCCCTTCCAACACACCCTCCGTCCCACCCTTCAGTAGGCGCACGACAACACCGCTCTTCAGTACACGCGTGACAACAACACAGCCCCTACCCCCCCCCCCGCTTTTCAAAAAATGTATCCTGCACATGCCCTTGGTCTCTGCACGGGCCTGGAATCATGTGTTTAGCTAATGCAGGACCAGCTCTGGTCAATTATAGGCACATGATCCTCTCGAAACTAGTTTATGAATAAACTTTAGGGTTTTCACACTTGCTTTAATTGCCTGGATCGAATCCAAGTTGGATTGTCCCCCCTTGCCACCTTCTCGTCTGGTTTGTGTTCACGCCGTCTTTTTTCCTTCCCAACCCGGGTACGCTTGCGTCATCAAGCTGCTGTTTTGTGTACAGCTGTTGCTAGGTGATGGCCACACAGACAAAGTGCCAAAATGGAGACGCATATCACGTTCATTCTGCTTTTACTGAATCTTTTGCTTTTGTGTTACCAAAATGGAAATACAGAGAGCCACTTAAATCTATCTGCTGCTGCTGCTGCAAAAAAAAAAAAAAACTATTAAAAACGTTGTTTCTGGTGGAGACGAGCAGACATAATCACCGTTTGCACTGGGTCAGTCCAGCTTCTTACCAAGGTAGGTGATACACAGACATCCACACACAAATGAATACTATGAAAACTAAAAGTTTCAATCATTCATTTTCTACCGCTTTTCCGGGGCTTGGTCGTGGGGGCAGCAGTCTTAGGAGAGAACTCCAGACTTTCCTCTCCCCAGACACTTCCTCCAGCTCTTCAGGGGGGATCCTGAGGCGTTTCCAGACTAGAGGAGAGACATAGTCTCTCCAGAATGTCCTGGGTCTTCCCCAAGGCCTCCTCCTGGTGGCACATTCCTGGAACACCTCCCTAGGTAGGCATCCAGGAGGCATCTGAAACAGATGCCGAGCCACCTCAGCTGACTTATCTCGATGTGAAGGAGCAGCGGCTCTACTCCAAGCCCCTCCCGGGTGTCAGAGCCCCTCAACCTATCCATAAATATGCGCCCTGCCACCCTGCAAGGGAAACTCATTTCGGCCGCTTGTATCCGAGATCTTGTCCAAAGCTCATGACCATATGTGAGAGTAGGAATGTAGATTGACCAGTAAATCGAAAGCTTTACCTTTCGGCTCAGCACCTTTTTTACCGCAACGGACGGGTACATCGACAGCATTACTGCTGCCGCTACACTGATCCGCCTGTCAATCTCACGTTCCATCCTTCCCTCACTTGTGAACAAAATCCCAAGATACTTGAACTCCTCCACCTGGGGTAAGGACTTCCTCCAACCTGAAGACGGCAAACCACCTTTTTCTGGTGGAGCACCATGGCCTCGGACTTGAAGGTGCTGATTCTTGGTTCCCAGCCACGTCACACACACAAAAAAAACCTAAAGTTTGCTGTACATTTGGCGGTTCACTTCTGTTATTTGATACGATTGCATTCATATTAGAAGTGAAGCGTACCAGAGTTCGCACGAACAGTACCCCAGACCACCTCTTTCAGGCAGACTCGGGTACACAGTTCAGAAGACACGTTTACAATAGCTTAATGTACTTTACTATGACGTCAAATGAACCCGGGTGCAGACTAAAAGTGCTAGTGTGAAAGCACCTTTAAGATACTTTCAGTACCTCATGCGAGTTACACATTGGTACATTTAAGGTTTTAATATGAGCTGAACGGTGACGCAGTGGTTAGTATATTTGCCTGACAGCAAAAGGTCACTGGTTCAAGCCTTAGTTGGGGCAGTTGGCATTTTTGTGTGGAGTTTGCGTGTTCTTGTGTGGGTTGTGGTTCTGTGGTTTCCACACAAGTCCAAAAACATGTGGTATAGGTTAATTGGGTAGGCTAAATAGTCCGTAGTGTATGTGTTTAAATGAGTGTGTATGGATGTTTCCCAGTGATTGGTTGCAGCTGGAAGGGCATTCACTGTGTAAAACAAATGCTGGATAAGTTAGCAGTTAATTCCGCTGTGGCCACCCCAGATTGATAAAGGGACTAAGCTGAAAAGAAAATGAATGAAGGTATTATTATGTACCTTTAAGGACCTGTTAGGAACAACAGGTCCTTAAAGATACATATTATTCCTTTATTTGACAAATTTTGTACCTTCATTATATACAAGTCTACATACCTGTATATAAGATAAACATATTCTATTACTCTCCAATCCAGCAATTTCTTTTTTTATTTTTCACTGTCATAAACAAACTGGGTAAAGTGGCAACCCAATAGACAAATATCACATATGGGTGATATTTCGTCTAAAAATAGTTGTTTGTTTACTGTGACCCCCAGGAACTGTTGACAATGTGCAGCTTTATTGGATGATCACCTTTAGCAAGCAACACCTGAAAGTCCTGCGATGAGGAAACATGCTGTCAGTAGGAAATGTTCATGTGGACACACTCCTGACACTCTGCTCAACGGGCTAGTCCTCACACTCACAGAATGGACATTACAAAAAGCACTGCGTCTAACACTGTCTGTCCAACTGTCAGGTACTGAACATGTAATGTAACTTCAGGACAGCAACTGAATGTTTGGACAGACTTCAGAGTGGGAGTATCCTTGTTATATTGCGGCTAAAATACCTTAGAAAACTCATCAAAATAATAATACAAAAATAATAATAATCGAAAATAATAATAGTCTGTGCTGGATAGATTACCTATAATTTGTAATCTGCAACTGATTACAAGTTACATGATGCAAATTGTGGTCTGTTTCAATCTACGTATCTTTTAATTGTTGTAGGCAAAGTATTTTTGGAGTACTATTTTGGATTACATTTTTAGATTACTTCAAGACATTAATACTAGATTAATCATTTATTGATTAAAACAAAACAAAAAATCTATAAATTATGAATAATGTACCGTCATTGTCAGAATACGTAATCATGTAATCCATAAAAAAGTAACTGTAGTCTAGTTATAATCTTTTTTTGTAATCTCATTACATTTTTGTAATCCAAATTACTTTTAATGAATTACTCAACACTAATAATAATAATCAAAGACAAATTATTAACACACACACTTGTTTTTTTTAAAGTGCGGGGATATCCCATGGGCATAATGGATTTTTATTCTCATTTTAACTTTGTCAACCCTACACCTAACCCTCAAATAAAATAATAATAATAATAATAATAATAATAATAATAATAATAATAATAATAATAAATAAATAAATAAATAAATAAATAAATAAATAAATAAATAAATAAATAAATAAATAAATAAATTTGGATGATTTATCAGCATTTAAAAAATGGCAACATGGGGCAATGTCCTTATAAGACATCTTTTCTAAACCCATGTTATTTTACAAATTAGTCTGTCAGTCTGTCATTTGTATCTCAATTACAACTGACTGTCTATTGAACGGATGAATTTGATGCCTCTTACTGGTTTTTGGCGAATGCGTATTTGTTGATGGTTTCAATGACGTCTTTAAAAAGGATTTTGGAAGTCAGGGTGTAGCCATGATGCACGATTGGTTCTCCATCCTGTCCATCCCAGCAATCCACTGTAGGGTGACAAGAAATTATTTGGTAAGTAAATTATTTAAGAACACATTTGATGTGAATATTTAGACTTATCCTAGATAAAGAAAACTACTCTAGATAAAGAATCCACACTTATCTATGACTTATTAGCCCCCTATTGAATTTTTCCTTTTTATTTTTTTTTCCAAATTATGTTTAACAAGGCAAGGAAATTTTCACAGTATGTCCCATAATATTTTTTCTTTTGGGGAAAGTCTTATTTCTTTTATTTTGGCTATTTTGGTTTAAAAATAAATAAATAAATAAATTAAGGTCAAAATTATTAGCCCCTTTAAGCTATATATTTTTGATAGCCTACAGAATAAATCACTGTTATACAATAACTTGCCTAATTACTCTAACCTGCCTGGCTAACCTAATTAAGTTAAGCCTTTAAATATCTTGAAAAACATCTAGTAATATCATAGTCAAATATTATTTACTTTCATTGTGGCAAAGATAAATTAATCAGTTATCAGAAATGAGTTATTAAATCTATTATGTTTAGAAATGTGTTGAAAAAAAGTCTTCCCTCCGGTAAACAGAAATTGGGCAAAAAAATAAACAGGTGGCTAATAATTCGTATTCAAATGTATATAAGGCTTTCAATATAGGAGGTTTATATATATATATATATATATATATATATATATATAGATAAGGGGTAATAAAAGCAAAAGCCTTATCTCTCTCTCTCTCTCTCTCTCTCTCTCTCTCTCTCTCTCTCTCTCTCTCTCTCTCTCTCTCTATATATATATA